ATCTATTAATTCTCGAATTCAACGCTCGAGAACAGGAACTGTAACCTCGCTTAGAGGATCTACATCTTCTTGTACAGGAACCCTAGCTAAGATTGGTGAAAGAATGCAGGAGATAGAAAGTCCGTCGGATCAAACATTATCCATCACTCACGAACGTATGTACTCTTCTAGAACGCAGAGGATCATTGTCTATCCCTTCCGTGTTGTATAGTCCCCCAAAGTCAAATGAAATATCACCAAATCATCTTACCCTACAACAACTAACCCCTTGTCAAATCCAACCGTCTATCAATGTCACCCAACTAACCCGTATTCGTTTTTGATCCTGCAAAGATGACTGACTAATCGATGCACTTCCTGACACCGTCTTTCGAAGAAAGAATTGATAATCACTTCTCTTGACTCTCTCCACGCATATCACCCATCACCATCGCAACAAATAACCAGCCTAAACCAACCCCAACACCCCCAGCACGGTAAGAATCGGCGAAGCGACACGAGACCCCTGCCCCCTGGTTTTCCATCCCGCTCCGCAACTCAAGTCTCGAGCTTCCAACTGAGCAAGAAAACAGAGCATTGTCAACCAGTCGTCCTGTCTTCGTTCCCACAATAATAATTCCCTTTAACTCCCGAGCCCTGAGTCCTACGAGTAGCATCCCAGGACAATGACATCGGTGTACATAACGTCCGTGCCGCCCCTTCCACTTCCCCGTCAATCCCACAATTGCATCCCGGTCCCACTGCCGCACCTTTTTTGCTTTTCTGACAGCACGCTTGCTGGGGGGAGGGGAGGGGGAGGATTCAAGTATTACCCTGTCACACATCGACATTCCCGACCGATCTAACCGGATAGAAAAACTTATGGTACCTGTACTTTAGCCTTGACGCTGTTTGCGAAAGAAAAGATCTAAACAAGTCATGTAGTCGTCGACTCGTTGTCGTCCTTCAAAGAGAAGCAGTAATCATCATAATAGGTAACGCTTGAAACCCCGAATGGATTCGAATGTGCAAAATATCACACCACCCACGTACTGTTGGGAGTTTTCCCTTTCGTATCGAGCACGGAAGAACGGGAGAAGGATCTGAATTGTTTCGTGACTTTTGAAACGATATTCGTCTTCTCGTTCTGCTTCGTGCTCTTTCGATCTAAGCAGGGGCATGTTTTTTGGCGTAAAATGTTGGGTCTATCAAAGTCCTAAAGTAACACACGTGGTACCTTTGGCGCGAACGCCTAGAATTGTCCGTATATCGTGGGGATCAGATTAGTTTACGGGTAGTGTCATGTCAAAGAAGGTAGTCCGTTTAAAGAAGCTTAGGTGAGCGCTGACAGATGAGATAAACTATTTGTCTTCTGCAGAGTACTGCAGGCCTAGACTCTAATGCAATTAGTGTAAGGATATGAGGCTTGCTTGATTGATATGGTGCTAATATAATATGTATTCCAATGTGAGGGTTTATCCGGAGTAGGCATTGCGCATATTTGCTTTTATGCAACGGACTATCGTTAAAAGATTCATCTAGCTAACGAATGGAAATCAGCAACCGTGGCTCTCGAGATCATCATGTCGCACATAATGACGTATGTACGTGAGGCATGCCTGCGTTCTGTTGAGCTGCGTGGACGAGGGTTTCGAGAATGGTAATATGGCGCGGCCCGCGCGGAGTGATGAGCTTCCATCACCTTCACCTGCAGCGCACTCTCTGCCATCGAACTAGGCTTGCGAGCTGTACCAAAGTGGTAATCTTTGTCTACACCGACTCTCACATTGTATAAGGCTTTGATGAAGCGTGGTTTCAAGTACGCGACTCAGATTGCCATACCATGTGGAGATGCTACTGTCCCGTCGCCCGTCTGGAAACGATAGAACAGGCGTGAGAATCGAACTGATTGTCAGTGAATAGATGGTGCTGATCACTCATTCCAGAACAGTGTTTCTGACACATGGAGGGGGCCCCCGCTCCTAAGGCCTACCTACAAGTGTGTTCGCGGGACGGGAAGAGTAAAGATTGTCACAGCTTCTTCTGCCCTACTATTGTAGGACTGAATAGTACATGCACTTCTGTTTCACGTTGTCGTCGAAGACAGCACCGCTTGGAAAGCCAAGCCTTCCAAACTCCCAATCAAGTCGGTGCGATGAGGCCGAAGTAAATCGGACGAAGAGGATGAGGAGGGATCGTGCCCTTCACCAGATCTGAAACGGTTTCGCAAGTGCAACTAATTGGGCTAAGTGGACATATAAGGTTCGTGCTTTGGAAAGCATTTCCCAGTCTGACGCTAGTAGGACGAATGCTGTCGTTTTGACCCTTGGTCCTTACCAGAAATGACCAACGCAGCCACCGTATCCGCGTTACGAGAAATGAGATATCATGATGCATTAGGTTTGGCTCAGGATGGCCTCTTGTTGGCTTGCGAGTTGCCCATACCATCTCATGTCATCGAACACCCGGCGCGGCAAAGCTCGTTCTTCAGTCGTTGGGTCTCCACTAAACAAACGCTCGCCAAATTTCCAAGCGAGGATTAAATTGTCGAGATTGAGCGTGCTGCGTGCATTCCCCAAGCCGTCAAAAGTCGGGCCGCATTAAGAGGGAATGACAGCTTCCCTCCACTGGGAGGGTAAGGTTTTGCCCGATGGCTTTCGAGAATTAAATTATTGGAGAACATGTCCGAATCGGACCAACTGCATGCTGCTTGGCGGGAGATTTTCGTCATACAATAGACGGACGAGTCAGAAGAACTCTTCCTGCTGGGAACTGGGATTGAGAAGTTAGTGTGTGAATCCGGAGCCTACCGCTAGACCCGATGATGTGTCGAACGGTAGACAGGCGTTTGTGTGTTTTTGGAAGGTCGGCTTGCGCTCCTTGTATAAGGCTGCATAGAACCTTCTGTTTCTGCATCGATGAACGTCAATGGCACTAGAGATGCCGTTTTTCCAATATATTCCAAGATGTTCGAAAAAGAAAGGTGCAAAGATAGAGAGATAGAACGGTAACGTTATGCCAATCGCCGTCGTGAATAATAGCGGGATGATTCAACGCAGCTATCAAGATCCATACCCGCCCCTGGTCGCGTGGGAGATGTTCCTCGACACGTGGCCTGAGCGTCAGTACCATGGTCGCTGGTGTGCATGGTCCATGGATGGATTTGTTCAACTCTGGAGGTCTGGTCGCAATGTTCTTCGAGAGAACACGGCACGCCATGCAGCCAGGATGTCACTCCGCAAAAATCCCACGGGTGCGACGGTCAAAGGCCCGTTCACATAGCCAGCCGCTATTCCAGCCGATGGCGTGTGTCAATGCGTACAGCCGCCGGCTTCACATGTCAGATGGTAACCTCGGGATAACAGCAGACATCGATAGACCGATCCCCGAGCGCGTGCTAAACCAGTGCCAGCCTGCGTACTTTTGCAAGATACATGCTAAAGCAAACAATATTGTATTACATACTTCCCTTCCCTTCCCTTGGAGGGTATGTGCATTGTGCGCGCGCGCGCCAAAGTGGCCCCTGTGCTGCAGTCAGTCCCTCGCCAGCGGCCAACATACTTGGAGGTTGACTTTTGCCTGGGGAACAGGCTGGCCTGCTGCACGCACAGGGTGTGACAATAAAGCCACACACTCTCTGCAAGGACCAGAGCCTTAGGGTGATGCTCAGACGATGCGTTGCATTTTGCTGGGCGTTGCCACAACGGGCACGGAATCTCGGGAGGTTTTTCTAGGCTGGACAACGATAAAATCGCAATCACCACGGAACCTACCGTTGATATCTTTCTAGTGATCACTGATGCCTGCCACCCTATTGTATGGACATGATTCAAGGTCCCTTGTGGTCGTAAGAGCTTCGTGCATGTCGGCTGATGCAGACCCATATTGGTCTGCTCGAGATGACGAGCGCATGTACATCGTCCAGCCTGACCTCGGAATCAAATGTGTACATATTGTACGTCTGCATTCAGAAGTTGTCGAAGTTGGGCTTCGCTAGGAAGCTACTGCACGCATTCACACCGGGTTGAAATTGATCAATGCAGGGCATGTACAGTGCGGATGCACTAGAGCCATCCCGGATTCTCTCACTAGAACAACGTTAACCGTGGTTGGAGGACGCGGCAAGAGTTGCCACGCTGAATATATTGCGCCTGTATAATTCAATCGAAAATCCGGTTAGCACCAGTTCATTGAGATGCGGAGTAATTTGCCAGGGTGCTGGCCAGCATGTGGGTGGGACTCGGTTCCAACTTCATAATTCTTTCGCGCGTCATGGGTTTACTGTCGAGTATAGTACTTCCGCTGCTCCGATGTCGATCAGTATGATCGTACTGGTCGTTGAACTAGGACTGTGCATACGGTCGAGATTGGAGACGTTGTGAACAGACGGAGGCAAATGAAAGACCTCTGTCGAGAATAAGATTATACCATTCCAGATGGTGACATGGGGCTAAGAATGCCAATATGCTGCGTTTCCCCGTCTCATGTACCTTTGGTACTATAAACTAGATAATGGTACAAGGTTGGATGTGTGTAAAAAAAATTGACAGTTCGGATCTCGAAAGAGACCGCAAGCGCCTTTTCCGTCATCGCAGTGCTGGTGGCCCAAAATGAAAGTCCATCAAGTTGCCTAGGAAAAACCGAAACTATGTTCCGTACGCTAATTCATCGAATGTTGCTCAAGGCTCGCTGGCCGTGATTTTTTGGATCTCTCATGAATTTTGAGGTCATTAGGTAGCGCATCTCATTCGCGTCTTGGCCCCCAATTATGGAAAATAAATCCACTGCGCTCTTGGGAAACCTTTGCATGTAATTAAACATTTTTGGAGTTGAACCCCTCATCAGCTAAGTTATTTCTCGAGATGGCATGCTGCTTAGCCGGGCGTATTTGGAGTAGCCTGTGGCGTTCATCGAGTTCGTCCTTTTCGAGTGAAAGGTTCTGTAGGATATTGTTATTAGGGTGTATAATTACGGGCCGTAACTCAAGGCCCGCCATTGGCCCTCTGCTCATTGGTGCCCTATCATCTGCTCCGTTTATACATGGTGGTATCGATCATGCCAGTGTTGCCATGATCCCATCGTCGTTTGAGGTTATCAGAAAACGAGCTTGCGACAACCTCTTGCCACATTGTTGGGGTAACGTAGTTAACACTGGGAGTTGCATAACCAGAAGATGGTAGTTGGCCCTGAGTGCCCTGAAGACTGCTGGATTGCGGAGATGCGTTAGGTAATTGGTAGTTGGCCTGGCTGGCTTCCTGAGGTGTCCGGACATCATAGTTGCCTGTTGGTGGGGCTCTTAGAGGCGGGGACGATTGAGACGTAGTGCTGGGAGGGGGCGTACCGAAGGCTACATTCCATTGACTGTGAAGCATTGAGTTAGTCTAAGGCAAGGAAGACTAGGGAGAAGGAAAACTCACTCTAGCAGACGCTGTGGATTCCATTGTGCGGGCTCCTGCATTTGCATACTCGCTTGGTTCTGCGGCGCCCGTTGTCCAGCGGCCATCATAACCAGGGACTGGGCTACGGGAGAGTCAGTCTTGGGATCGTGGTCGGATGCCGAAATCGGTGGTGTGATGGGATGTGCATGGTAGTTGACCTGACCTGGTTGTTCCAGAGGGGACTGCTGGCTTGGAAGACGCGACCGGTAAGAACCCGCATTGCTCAAAGGGCTAGATTGTGTAGCTACTTGCGGGCTTCCAAACGGGAAAGTTGGCTTCAGCTCGAACGGCTTTGTCACATCCGCGGAAAAGGCCTGACGCAAGTTGTCCACTTGCTGGTGCATCTCCGGCATTGGCCAAGCGGGCTTGCAGGTCTCTAAAATTCGCATGTGTCTCACGAAGAATTCCCTCGCATCGTTGCTTAACTCTGGGTCGGGGCAAGTAATGGCAACCTGTCAAGTTAGAAAGCCTGCTGGGAAGGGGGAGCCTTCGGAACTTACTAGATGAAGCATTGTGCAAGTTAATACAGAGTAAATAGTGAAGCTTATGCCTCTAACCATACACAACAGACCTGGGAGCCCGTAGGTCTTCAAGATTGCTTCCTGAAGTTTGCACATATTCTTTGCGGCGGAATAACACGTCAGCATGTGTTGCTTCCAGACTTCGTCATAGCTGTCAGAAACAGCTTGAAGCTGAGGGCGGACATGCATTATCACCCCTAGGTAGTGATAGCAATGCATGTTCGCAATGTAGTGCGATGGAATCCATGGTGCGGATCCATCAGGTGGATACATGATCTGCATGTCCTCCGGTAATTCCCTCATCCACATAGGGTAGTCTACGTTGTGTTGAACGAAGTTAGGATCCATAGCCCAGTCGTCGGTGCGTTTCCTTAATCGTCCATAGGTAAGAGTCGTCTGTTGTATGTTCTTCACGATGCGGATATACTGGGTGAATTGACGAGAGACTTGGAACTCGGCATTGTCAAGTGCAGGAAGGGGTCGGGGCATTTCGAAGTCAACTGTATCCGTGGACACACCAAAGTCATAGCGCCCTAATATAGTGATTAGCAAAATGAGAAGACGTATGGTACCACAGGAAAACTGATGCCTACCTTGAGGACCTCCAACCATCACCTCAAGTATAAACAGGGTGTGCCAAACGCGGGTCTTTGCGATGCAATCATGAATAGAAGAACCACAGGGCTTGCCCATCTGGTGCATATCGTAATGCTCGTCAATCTCCAGGTCTTTTGCCATCGCGACAAGCGACACAACGGTCATCCAAGAACGCCAGAAGTAGCCACGTTTCGGTGAAGATTCCCTAGCTTTCATAAGAAGTATCATTGCCTGCATCGTGCTTAACCGGGAGACATCTTTGAAGCTTTCTTCATGCCCTAAAGAAATAGTCAGTACATGGTTTTCACGAGGGTGATGCTGAAATACTGACTGGCAGCAAGAGCAAGCCACTTGTTGCCTTCTGAGGACAATCCGAGCATGAGCAATGAGCACGCAAAGATGGCTTCGAGCATGAGCGGCGATATGGAGTCCCGCGCCGTCTGCCATTGTTGGTAGAAATATGCTTTGTTCACCACTGGACAGTAGGGATGGATGTTGGTGAAGAAGTAATCGAAGTAGTGAAGTGCTTGTTCTTCAGAAGGCATCATCTCTGGCGGTATGCGTACAGTGTGATCCAGGCTTGTAGAGGGCGGCAACTGTAGCTCATACTCTTCCTGCGCGGGCGTTTCCGCCAAAGTCTTCTTCTGGTTGGCAATGTATGGTGCTACTCAAGTTAACAACTATTCTAGGAAGTCGGAAAGGACTGGATTCTCACCAACTGCAGTATGATCGATCTTCAGTTCTCCAAGGGCTTCAGCCAGATCGGAAGGTGTCTCATGCCGCCAGCTACTCTCGGCATCCGTCGCACTCATTGGCACCGGAGGGGCGCTTGCTGGCGGTTCCGAATACAGTTGCTGCTGTGGTGTATAATTGATATTTTGTTGAACGACTTGAGCTTGTGACATGTGTTGGTAAGGCATCTGCTCCGTGGGCGAATGATCCACGTAAGGTGCGGTTTGATACATTCTCCCGTCCGGATAGGTGCCAGTTACGGGAGTGGTTAGTGGAGGTGCCATGTGTTGGGGCATCCCTCCGTGTGGAATAGGTCCGCTTATACTGTGTCGTTGATAGTGTTGCTGGGTATCAATCGGAGCTGGTGCATATTCGACCGATTTGGCGTCGAGTTCGAAAGTTTGAGAATTAGGGTTGAAGTCTTTATCATAACTCACGGTTGGTGGCACACAGTTCAGCTTCAACCGGATGCACGCGGCGCAAGGCCACGCATTTGTAGTTGCGGCGTCGCATTTGATTTTACGGCGCCGGCATCCTTCGCATGCTCTCATAACTGCGTCGAATTAATAAGAGGTCCGAAATCCCACTTCTACAGTCATGTGGAAGGGAAGATGTTTGAATAGTGGAACTCACCTTTCAAGCGCTTGTGTCTGTTGTGTTCGTCGACAAAGACATAATCTGCGCATTTAGTCAGTCCTCGGGCATTTCTGTGCTACGGCCATTACAGCTACGGAGGATGGAATCGCGTACTTCGTTGATTCTCGCGCGGCGCCAGCGTTGGCGGCGCAAACGTGAAGCTCTGCATCTGGGCGGTTTGTGGGAGAAGCGGGCGGCCAGTGGACTCGTTGGGCATGGTTACGAAAGGCCAAAATACGGGGAAGCAGAGGACGTCCTCCTCGCCGGGCAGTACGCAAAGTGGTGAGCAATGTATATGTCCAGGTTCAGTCGCGATAAAAGGAGAGACTCGAAGTAATGCTCTGGTGATTCGGTAGTTTTGTTATTTGGTTCGATGGTTCGTTGGAAGCTAGACGGGTAACAGAGTAGTTGAGAGAGCAGCGCGGGGTTGGTCTCGGTTTCGCTTGAGTGTCAATCGTCCCCTCGATGCTTCCCTAAGACACCCGGTGGGTGGTGGAGTGCAGGTGTGCGGTGTGTGAGTGTAAGTTAAGGAATGGCCAATGAGGGTAAGCTGGCCGTCTAGACCGACCGAACGCAAGCGGAACTGGAGACACAACGAGAGGAAACCCAAAAAGTGCCAAAAAGGGCCGCTGGAAGAGGCCGCGCAGGCTCTAATGTACAGCTCTATGGCGGGAAAGAAATCTCCGCAACGCCAGTGATGGTTAGCAGGCGTGGTAGGCTCTTCGGGTGATGGGCGTAGTCAAGGCGCCGCATACGATACATAGAATAATGAGCAATCTGGCATACAAGGATCGTTTTGTCTCCTGCAGGCGCCACTTGAGCGCTGAGCTTGGTTCTCCTGGATTGCCTGATAGTCCTGAAAATGGTTTCCGATGGGGCCTGGGGGGTGGGAGGGACGACGATGCTGTCGCAAAGCTATGCGCGGTGGAGAGAGGGTAGGCGTCACTACCAGACAAGGGGCAAAGTAGGTGGGTGGAGTGAAGCAGCAACCATCAATACCACTGAGCGTAATACACTCAGCCCTCAAAACAGCCAGATCGGGATCAAGGGAAGAGGAGGGGGAGGGGGTGTGCGGCTTGAGAGTCAGTTAAGTGTCCCTGCGCACAAATAGTCGTCGTTCGTAAGTGCAACTCCAGTAGTGTCTGAAGTTAAGAAACTGCCGCGTTTTGTGTGTGGGGGGGCGAGGATTTGGGAGTGCCACAGACTGGCCGTGCACAAGCACCAAAGCCCTTAGGCAGGGGTCTTGTCTACAACGTTCTCTAGTCAGAGAAGGCAAGTCGGATGCTTCGACGTTGGAGTTGGACCCCCTACCTACCTAGAGACTTCGTAGCCTTTCGAAGGCCAGTGGTATCATCATTCCCTGGCTCTTCAAACAGGAATAGGGGATGGCGGCACTGCCCGGCGCTGTGGCCTTTCCTTTACCTAAGCATACGGTATACCCTCCCTACACAGAGCTTTACAGTACACGGAGTACGTACTACGTACTACCTTGTACGTACACATTACTGTAGGTCGTGGTAGAAGCAGCGTCGAATCTCTCTTGTCGACAAAGAAAGGCCCTACTACGAGTAGTCGGGTCATAGTTACCATCAGTGACCAGCCTACCCACCACTCCGGCGACCAAGTGGCGGGAGCTCAGAAGGATACACAAGAGCGGCAACATGCATGCCCTGGCGCCTACTCAAGTCTCACCCACCGAGACTCTGCCGTGAGAGCCCTTTGCCATAGGACGGCGACCTCCAGTAGTTGCAAATTCGACGAAGTCTCTTACGCCATGAACCTGGCCTGGCTGCCTCCAGTCATTCAACTCTGCCCTACATTTCCCACAAGCATCGTAGCACCTGGTCTGTACTGTCCAAGTGGGCGCCCGGGTTAGCACACATCACTCCTGAAATCCCCCTCGAGAGATTTGGACGGAGAACTCCACCACTGTCTCCAATGCACACTATGACAGCGGCTAACTACTGCTGACATGCCCCAGTGCCAGACGACTCGCAATGACGAAAAGAGTGCACACGCCTATATTTGCGACTACAAGTACGCATTTGGTCTCAGGGTGTTCCGCATACTGTGTAATAACAAAAGTACCAGAATAGTGGATATCGACAATAAGAAAGCGGATACGGAGTGCACAATGCGGCGTAGCATCTAACCATTACCCGCACTGTTAATATGGGTGAGATGTACACTACTCGACCGTTGGAATACGAGATGAACTTGCGCTCTGTCATCACAAGGCTGGAGCGGAACTAAGATTTCGTCCACGACAGGCTGTTGTTGTCTTTCAGTAATTGTCACTTCCCGAATCACCCGGGATAATGGTGGTGAACAGTGAATGCGAATAACACTGTAGGGCGCATTACATAACCAGAAAGAAATGGAAGCATCGTTCCTTGGCCATACGCCTCTTTGTTCTCGCTCGCACGGTGCACGGCGGGCTGACCTCCTTGCTCTTAGATTCGTACTTGTACTTTGTATTATTGCTGAAGATGTCATGCAGCCTCCCGCCAACAGAAGGATCCTGATGGCTAGCTTGTATCTGGTCGAGCGCATGGCCACACGAGCCATGTTGCTGCATTACCAGGTGGAAGTGCCTCGGCGTAACAGCTGCCCTTCATTGGTCCAAACTGGTAGGCTTTGACCACAAGATAACTCCCGGGCATCGTAGCGCGCATGAAACAATACTTCTGTGAACAACCAGGACCTTGTTTGCGCCGGCGGTTTATTGGTCGCCCATCGGTTGTTCAATCGCGTGTCGACGGCGCAATCTTATTTCTCGACGGACTATCGACCATGTTTTGCATGAATGAAATGCGGCAATCTCCAAGTCTTCAAAGATCGTGTCTCCAGAGTGTTGGTAGATTTTGCCGCGTGTGATGGGATGAGATTGAACGATTTTGGTACACCCACGAGCCTTTCGCCTTGCGTAGAGCAGGCTTGTGCAGTATCGAACAAGGCAAGGGAGAGAAAACCTATGATGCGAAGCACCCCACGTCCATAACCCGGATGGGTGCTGCTTGATTTCAACTGCACGCGACAGTGCTGCTCACTCGAATCAATTTACCTTGCCAAGTCCAGCTCTGAATGAAGGTAGATGATCTCCACTGTCAGATCATGTTCATCCCTATCCTCATCCATCCCATCCTATTATACGGCCCGGCCACGGTGTTGCGCTAAAGAAGCAGGCACGATGGCTGGTAAGAATGCATGAAGCTGTATCTAAGAATCGTATACTCCGTATATCGAACGTAAACCGTACCCTCAGGTGCGGTGTGCATGTTGGAATGGCCGGCCCTGTGCATCTTCCGTCATCTTTTCTGTAGTGACCATTGTCGGTTGCTCCCGCGAAGCATTGCTTGTGTGAGTGAGCAGGAGTGGACTTTGCCTAGCTCAGTCAATCTGTAGCGGCCAACCACGTCAGTCACTCGAATCGCTATGAGATCCCAAGTCCTTGGTTCCTGCTCGCGATTTACAAGGGCCGTCTCGGACACGCCGCGTGCCTGAGCGTACAACAGGGTTGGGGGTTGAACTGATCAGCATAGCTGAGGGGCAACTCTGGGAGTCTGGGTACGAATGCAGGCTGGCATTCTCGCTTCGTCCTACCGCTCCGCGTTTGCCCTGGCATCCACCAGCGCAGTGCTTCCACGATGCCTCTAGAAGCATTGCGTATCCTTCGTCAATAATTTTAGTTCAGGGTCGACTCCCCAACCAGTCCTATCAGATAAATGTAGGGTAAACTCCTTATGACAGGCCTGACCTTCGCATGATATTGGTAGGATTTGATCTTGGCAACATCCCCCCTTCCTCCAAGTTCGCCCTTTATAACGCAGGGCCCACGCCGACCATTACGCTTCCCCAGGACCCGCTAGCAGGCAAGTAAAGCCTTGGTCATGTGTGGCGCTGGTTCGAGCGACATCTGACAGCGCGTGGTTTACCAGAAGTGTCGTAGTATTCCATTCTATGTAATGGCGATTTAGAGCCTACGTCAGCCGCTGACAAAGGCTGTACGGTTCAAGAGAGTATGGGCGTGTGCATAAATGAGGAAAGCATTCCCAGCTTCCGACTGAGGGACCATGGGCGGCAAATCTTGGTGGAGATGGTGTAGCAAAGCGGTCATATTCGGCGAATGGGTTGCATCAGGCAGACCTGCCCTGTTTTTGGTGCGAGGGGTAAGTCACCGACGGCAGTGCTACTGCTCCCAGGGGCGACATGGATCTTCGTAGGGCATACGGAATATTGGTCGAGTACACAGTATGTATTGGAAAAAGCATAACTAGATGTTTACACTTTACCCTTCTCCAGTTTGCTTACCGGGGATCCAGGTTGATTCTGATTGCGAAGGTCTTTGTCAGCAGATCCCGGAATAGTGGATCCGTGCCTACCGCAAAGTCAATACTCACGTTGTTCTTGGCATCAGTATTGCTCTCTTCTCATCCTCGTCCTCATGCTGTCTCCAAGGCATTATTATTGACCATTTACGAATGATCAGCACCCTTGTAAACGTTATTTTCATCGATTTTCGAACGCTCGGCAAACGGGCTTGGTGGATCAGCAACCATAATTTACCTAGTTGTGTACCTAGGTATCCAAAGTGACTGGTCTGACAGTCAAGATCACGGGTCATGCTATCGTCAGCACAGAGCGGCTGAACTGCCCTCTGCCTTATTGTATACTAGGGATAGTGATCATTTGCTACTCGTCAAGATGAACGAAGCACTGTTCGAACGATCTCATGCACTTTTGTGTTGATACAATCTAGAAGCTGAATACCTAGATACGTAACACAGCATACGGCAATTGATGAAATCCAATAGCCACCTGCAGCAGCGAGTGTCGAATCAAAAACATGATAGCCAGTATAATTGGTTGGCTGTGCCGAATCGGGTCAAATCCACCTATAGAGTTACCAAGAGAAATGAGGGGGATCCTATATCGGCCACCCCAGATCAAGGCTTTTATGTTTTAACCTATGCTACAGGATATCGACCAGCAGCTACAGGATATCAACCAGCAATTTAGGAGCGTTTGAGTAGAGATAAGATGGCACAATTTCATATTGCGAGCGCTGGGTAGTAATAGCATTGCAATGATTTGTAAAGGCGACGTCGAGCCCCACCAATCAGGAGGAATGGAACCCGCATTTGGCTTGGCGAAACTTATCGCAACTTTTGGATGATGCATCTTCATATTCTCCAATCTTTGGAACTCACCGTAACTACAACCTGACGACTCCAACAGTACTACTCTCGTGATTTTAAGAATCGAATACGTGTTGACATACCGCTTTTGCCAACGACTTCTCCGACACACGTTCGCTCGCCATGGAGGACGATAAGCAAAACGCCAACCCCACTATCCTCAACCCCTCAGACCTTCCCTCTCGCCATAGGGAAGCAGTCGCGAAGAAGCGGGAGGATGGAGGCACAGGGCTCTTTGATGATCTCATTCCTGCATACAACTACCTGAATGATCCCTTCGAGCAGTCATATTCGTCCTCCGACTCCGATGACGGCTCCGTGGAAGACATTGATGAGCAAGAGATTTATGGTGCGTAGCTTGTGAGGCTTTCAACATCATCGTGATTTGTATTTTGCATATTCGGCAAAGGAAGATTTGGCTAATCTGTGTCTTCTCTTTAGACCTCATATCGTCCATTTCCGATCCCGAACATCCCCTCTCCCTTGGTTCCCTGGCTGTTGTCAACCTACCGGACATCTTCATACAGCCACCGCAATCTCCACACTCGTCTATAAGCACTGTCCTTGTAGAAATAACACCCACGATTACACACTGCTCCTTAGCTACCGTCATTGGCTTGGGAGTTCGCGTCCGACTTGAGCAAGCGCTGCCTCCCCGGTTCCGAATTGATGTTCGCATCAAGAAGGGTACGCATAGCACTGATGAGGCAGTCAACAAACAGCTTGGTGATAAAGAAAGAGTTGCTGCTGCATTGGAGAACGGTACACTTATGGGTGTCATAAGGAAGATGCTCGTAACTTGCGAGTAGACCGGAAATCCTCCACTTTTGCTTGAACGACGATAAGATCCAATCTAAGCACTCCAACAACAGCGCCTAGGCATTATGGAGGAGTGGCAAGTCAAAACAAACACGCAAATCCGTTATTTGGGAAGATACAAGATCGATCTCTCGGCTACCATTACCCTGACCTCCCCCGGCTCCAACATGAGCTCAACCAGCTATAGTCCACGATGAGACCTATAAGTCATCACATGGGTGCGCATCACCTCGGCTTCGCAACAATGTCCAGAAAACCGGGCCAAAAATCAATATACCAACTTCCAAGAAACCTGCCCCTTTTCGGAACGTGCTACTGCATCTTCTCGCGGGTCACGCATTCAGGCACTATCGGAATGCACGTGCGCTGCAGGAACTGACCCTGCGTCGATCCGCCTACCTTTAACGCATGTAATATAGGCACACATGCTTGCGAACCGGAATTTTTCCCTTACCACAGACGAGATGTACTTGGCTTCAATCGTTAAACTCCGTGCCGCGTGGCCTTGCTTTCGCTTCTGCAGTATGTGCTGAATGCTGCTGCATTCAGCCGGTAAATATCCCACACTTACGCCTATACCTTCTGTAACGACCAGTACTATCACAACCCTTTTCCGAATAAAGGCCGCGGAATATAAGCCAATTGGAAAAGCTCTGTCATCTAGCGTTTACCACGTTAAATCTAACGTCGTTCATTTGGGATCTTGTTACCCCTAACCGTTATCAATCATCACAAGCACCACGGCGGATAGCTATTTGCCAAAAGTAGATACAATTTGTACATACATTCCAGTCGAGTAGTGTTTATACATGGACTCAGTGCTATTTGTTCAATTCTGAATACTTTCTTTTGTGAGGCGTAGCGCTATGTATATATCAATTCACATCTATTTGCGACGAATCCCTACAAACAATTCCTCAAGCCGCAACAGCCTCACATCTGTGAACACTCCAACTTCATACTCTGCATTGCCATATCTTCGGATGATTATTGACCTTGTGATACATAGCATTGATAGATAATGGAACAAGTATAGATGTTGGTACTATTTTTTTCGATTTTATTAGATGTTTCCATTTCAGATAGAGATTGTAACTCTCACAAACCCTAAAGCATAAGAGAAATCATACATCACAAGCTTTTATAAAACAGACTAAAGGCAATTAATCACTTCACTTATCACAACATAGCTCATGATTCCAAAGGATGGTAATTTTAGTCTTGAATGGTGCACTTATTTGTTACATGAAGTGAGTCTAAGAAAAGAGATGTTCCTTGCTGACGGCGGCGTGCTCATTGATCCGGACACTCTCGACATGTCTCTCGATCAATCAATGTGCTCGGATTCGGGCGTTCGTTCGTGATTGGAAGTTGATGGAGTGGAGTTGTTGATGGGGATTTTGGGGGTATCGGTTTCGTACCTACTGGCTGTTTGGGAGAGTGTGTTCGTGAGCCGCAGGAGTGGTTCTATAAATGACGGCTTAGGCATGAAAAGAGTTTCTTGCATATCCCTTGCAGGATGTTGTTGTGGCAAGAACAGTGCGTCGAAGTTCTAGAATTTATTTTCTGCCCATCGGATGGCATGTCCTTCCAATCGGATGGCATGTTCTTCCAATCGGATGGCATATTCTTCCAATCGGATGGCAGGTCTTTCTACTTGGATGGTATGTGCTCTCAATCGGATGGCATGTTCTTCCAATCGGATAGCATATTCTTTCATTCGGATGGCATGTTCTTCCAATCGAATGGCATGTTCTTCCAATCGAATGGCCTCGGTGACTTCTGACAATGTAGGATTTTCAGATAGCCTTGCTTTAGACTTCACGGCTATAAGCTCAATCCTGCAACCCAATGTTCGGGAAGGTAGACCGAGCTCCTGTCTAAAGTGAACCGTGGCCGGCGGGCCGAGTGTGACTCCCTGAAGAAAGGAATCTCGTACTTTTTCGAGATCAAGATCGGTCACCTCTATCCTGATCACTGTCTGCGAACCACAATCAGACAAGTTGCCGAAGTATAGTGGTTTAGGAAGAAACCAAGGGAACCGAATCTCTCTGATAGCTCTACGATGGATGTGTTGCATGTGGTTCCATATCTTAAATAGTGTCCTTACGTTTGTAAACGTGAATTCATTTCCGAAGTAGACACGCAGCCCAATCTCAAGATACAGTTGGCGACAAGTTGCTGGGGCCAATGGCATTCCTTCACGTACGTTGATTCTAGGTTTGTAGACTCTTGGAGGCCGATTTGCTCCATTTGTGGTCGTTCGCTTTGCTGGTGAAGGGGAAGGGAGAGGGTCCTTCTTCCTAGATTTGGAAGTGTGGATTTTACCACCCGTCACAGCCATAGTAAGGATAAGATTACGCAATTCCCCGGGGAGCTTGAGCAAAGGGGAGTTCACAGCGTTCCACTCAGCACTAGAGAAGTCAGCGACACGTCGTTGAAGTCATACTGGTCCACTTGCATTGTGGCACGGGGATCATCAGGTGGGATGCGTGCATCGAGCAAACCGTCCTGGTTGCGCTTCATCTTGATGAGATGTCTCGGTGTCTTTTCAAGGACCAGATTGATCATGTAGTTCGGAGGCAACATCTCAGTGCCTTGTTGAGATGCGGACTTGTCGCCAAAGCGTAGCAAGGACGAAACTACTGCTTGAGTCAAATTCTGCGGGGTACTCGCCATGGTCGCTAGACCATGAGCTGGATAGTTTGATACTCTTTTCTTGCTCGCACATTGAGGTTGGCTATTCTTCTTGCTTGTGGCTGCTCTCGGTTGTTGTTCGTTGTGGCCAAAACAGCACGGTCAAAGAGGTTGAGAAGTAGGCGCTCGGGTCACGAATGGAGGAATGGTTGAGAACAAGTGGCCTAACAATCTGTACTTTTATGAGTAGTGGGGGGCAACAAGTGAAAGAAAGTGAATTGAGGTGATTGTTGTTTATAGTGAAGCCTGGACCAAACACTGTCGCGTCCACTTTGATCCCTACCAAGACGCGGCGCTCGATCACTAGAGTGATTCTTGCTGCTCGTTTTCACTGTGGTATATAAGGACCCAATCCGCCCAATACCTTGCTTGCTTGGAGCCGTGCCTGCTTTGCAATTCACAACCTTTGGCAGCGGATCATGGCACTCACAGAACGGCCACGCCGTAGGAGCTCGGAGACAAGCAGCCGCAGCATGATTGCGAAAGGTCTGAATGCTAATTTAGTTGTTAAGTCCGGCAACGACTCTCGGCCGCCAATGAAGAAACGTCGCAACGGCATGCTCGACCTCAGGATATCTATAAAGTCACCTCGATTCCAAATGTAAGTGAAAAGATGTTATCAAGCTTTATGCTACAAGTCTGACAAGAGTAAAGCTCGAGAGAAAACTCACTGGGATCGCCATTGCTACGCCTGCCTGCGGAGATTCGATGTAAAATTTACGAGTACGCCCTAGGCGGATATGACATCTCCATCGTTCGTCGAATTGCGAGCACCTCCGGCAATGCTACAGATTTCCTGTCTTTCTACGATGGTGTTGAGATTCCGCGCGGGAGCAGGTCGATTGAGAAGCCAAATATTGGGCTTCTTCGAGTGTCGCGGCAAATTTATGTCGAAACTGCCTTGCTGCCGTACGTCTACAATACCTTCTGCTTTGACCTTGCTCTCGGGAATTCTACATTCACGCCTTGGATGAAAGCACGGCGGCCAGCGCAGAGACGAGCAGTGCATTGTATTAGGCTGCATTACCGCCACCTGGTTTCCATATTCGCCGAGCGACGCAAGCCGCTCAGAGCCTTCTTCCCAAACCTCAAGTACATCGACGGTACGGATTACATGGTTAAGTACATGGTTAAGTACATAGCCCCAGCAAGTGCCAGCCATCTGGAAGCAAGAATTAGGGATGCAGAAGGCGACGATGTACGTTTGATACTTCAACCCCGGGCCCAATCTCCCGTACACACTGAATAGGCATGCATAAGGCGGCAAGGACTCACAATCCTTGAATCGCCTCGGATGTTCTACTGAGCTAGGATCACGAAAAAGACGAGAGAGTACTGTTTCCCAAGGAAATTCAATCCAGGCACCCGAAGATCAGGTTACACTAGCGTGGGAATATTGTGTCGATCGGTATGGTCATTCAGGGTGTGGATTCAAAAGTCGACTTAATGCAAACCGGCTGTGAGAATGGTATTGAATGAAAAGGTGTTTTCAATGTACTTGCACAGCTGCCCTAATGTCGTCTTGAGCATCCAAACTTACAGTGTGAGCTCAGTAGTAGTTCAAGTGAAGGCCAGAATGTATGATCCTACTGACCTGGTTCGTGACCGCCCACAAACCAATGCAGAAATCATCTCGTGCCTAGTTGAACAGATCGCCCAAGACTCCATGAGTGACCTCCCAATAGCCTAGCTTGCATCTTCTTCTAAAGACCTGATAAATTAGGCAAATCTGAGCAAACCCAGTAAATCACATGTGTGGGAGGTAGTGAAAGCAAGGCAGACCTGACGCAGATTCACTTGAGAGCCTCCGCTGTGGCCTGCAATTTTCCTCCCCCACTCAGCTGTCTGATAATTCCTGCCCTCGGTTGCCAAATAGTGAAGGAGGGCCAGCTCAAACTCACTCTTCACCGCTTTCTCTCCCGCACCAACAACCTTCTCCCTCACCAACAACCTTCCCCAGGCACATCCACGACAACATGGCGCCTAAAAAACCAGATGAGGCTGAAAGAGCCAGAACTCCGATCAGAAGGTCGGCAGCAGGGATCAGGAAGCAAAAACCAGTACCTGGGCCCAAGCTCTCCACAAACGCGGAGGACAAGACTTCCAGTGACGTACAAAACACGATGTGAGTGAGATCGGACTTCTCGAGAGCTTCAACTGAATATTGGCAGCACCCTTCTCAATCAAAAGCAGTCGCCTTTTCTCCGCCTTCCGGCCGAGTTGAGGAATCAGATATATGAATACTACTTCGAAGAGGGCTCAGTTTACTTGGATGACTCTGAGATATACTACGCCGACTCCAGTTCTTTTCGTGCCTTCAATTATATTGGACTCATTCTCGTCTGTCGGCAAATTCACGCAGATACGGCATTATTTCCATACACCAAGCTTTTGTTTAATTTCGCATGGTTCACAAGTGGGCAGATTGGGGCCTGGATCGAGAAAAGGTCTCAGATCCAGAAGGAAGCCATTAAGAAACTCTATGTGGATTATATGGCCATCGGGGATTTAGATGATACCGAACAAGGCGTTTGCCGCTTGAAGGAACTGGTTGCGCTTAAACACGTCTTTCTGTACAGTGGGTGGCCACAGATGTCGCCCGACGAAGTGGAGATGTGGAAGAGCGATAATATTCAATACTTCCGTCAGCTGTTCCAAGTCCCACACCTGCAGATCATCGCCTGCACAAATGGCGACCTGGGAGAATGGAATGTCTATGAATTCCGGTTAGATTTCGATGTTAAGCCAACGTCCCCTTGAGCGCGACTGAACTGTTTCTGGCAAAAAACAGTCCACGTCTTCCATCTTTGGTAACCTAATTCTTCATTGTAACACTCGACGAATCTTGGAAGTTTGGTCTGGATGAAATTTAAATGAAATTCAAGCATGCCTGTACGGTCGCGAATCTGATTTCCAATGTGTGTACTGTGTATTTCCACAACGTGTGATTTTTTGACAGTTGTTTTGATTACCAGTGCAAATCGGCGACACACAACATAAACTGTCCTAGAATCCATATACTAACTATAGATATAGAATAGGGCAGAGACAAAGTCACATATAATCGTAGGGGAAAAAGGGCACCGCTACTCTTTCACACATATCCCAGTCTATAGGGGGTTTGTTTTCAAGTTAGGGGTGACAAGTGTAAGTAGAAAATGGATTTGTGAAAAAACTACAGCTCTGGCCCGCAGCAAAAGTACGATATATGTTAAGAAATTTGATTAGATTATGCTTTGAAATAATGACCTGTGTGGCCGACTGCTGAAGGAGAGATGATGCGATATGAGGAAGATTTGTTTTGATATCTCTACTTTGAGGTATTGAATCATTTTGTATATCTGTGTGCACATAGGACTAGATAAAGTTTGACGTAAGCCAGTGTTTGTGGAAGGATTGTTTTACACGATTATTTATCCCTTTACTTGTGCATGTATGTTTGTAAACAGAAGAGTGGGCGGTGTTGACATGTAGTATATCAGAGATGAAAGTTTTCTAAATGCCGCGTCCATATCTATCGTGATGTAGGACATCCTCAGTCTTTGTAGTAATATATTCTCTTCTGTGTGATACTTCATATTCCATACTGTGGTTTAAGCCATCAATAAACCAACACAAAAGGATCAACTGAACAACACGAACCCTCGCCGCCTTAACAAAAGCCCTGAATATCACTTCTTTCAATACCCAAGTGCCAGGAACGCGACATCTCATTGCACTGCAAGCAGCTCATTCTCAACAAGTAATGACCTCACGATGATACAATATAACAATCCATCACCACACCAACAACCCCCGACTCTCCGTCCTCATCCACGGTTATCATCTATTTCTTCATTCGCAACCGTACAAAAATGCCACTATGTACCTGAAAAATCACGACCGCATTGAAGAACACAGATATCGATGTCTTGTCCGGAGATCGCGGGATGCCGCGGGTGCTGTACCAGAACCGTCGTGCAACATCAAAAGCATATGAAAAACCACACTAGCTGAAAACCCCGGAAAGCTGTGGAACAAACAACGCGAATTCACAACGTGAATCGCCGATCTGACAGATGCTAGCATGCAAGTTTACGTCTCAGTACCTTGAAGACATGCTTTAGTCCTGTATTCGTCATGGGAACGGTGTGGCTGATGGGAACAAAGTCTGACGATTTGCGCTACTTGTTTGTGTTTGGTAACAGTTCAAGTTTGTACCTCAACTGACAGCATCTTGTACTTATTCCAAGCGTAGGTTTCTGCATCTATCTAAGACATTAATTGCAGCATGTTATTCGCAATCGCAGCGGGATATTGAGGAAGATGGACTGAAGTTGCGAAATGACGTAAGAGGCCCGGCACTAGTTGATTTCCACCGTTGGAGTCTTGGAAAACAGGGATTAAACATTGTGTTTCCAGGATTGGCAGGGTCCTTACTGGTAAATGACTAGCGCATCGGCACTAGCCACCTGAGCCACATCAGCGTTCGTCTTTCGACAACCTCCCCCGCGCTTTGCATTTCTTGGACTCTTTCCCAGTGGTGGTGGAATTCCCGATTATCATTCATATGTCGCGAACCGACGAAGTCGAAGGTGTGCACGACGAAGGGGCGCGAGAGGAGGTGGTGGAGACGGAGCAGCAGAAAGACGGAGGTAACGAAGCACCAAGACGAAGTGGGGAAGACGAGCACGAACACAAGGAAAAGGCCGCGGCCTTGATTCAGCGCAATTATCGAGGATATAGAGAGAGAAGGAAACTCAAGGGATGGGAACTCGATGCCAGTTCAAGATGGGCCGAGGTATGAAGTTCTCCATCCGGTCTGTCTCGTACAGACTTCTCCGCATTGTCTTGGAGCCATCCGCTAATTCGAACAGGCCATCAAAGAAGGTCAGCTCCCCTCCCTATAATTCATAATGAGCGCAAGAATACTAAATATTTGAAGCAAAATGGCGCAATGTAACACGGCCTCTTTCTCCCTCGGAGCGATCACAGCAAACCGGCCAACCGTCATCGCCGGAAGACCGCCCACGAGCCACCTCCGAAGCTGCGCGTAGGAACTGGAAGAGAGTGGGCGAGATAGCTAGGAGGGCTGGCGGTGATGATCCTGAGGATCCTTCTGAGAATGAGGATGATATGACTGACGAACAACGTGGGGAATACAAGAGGAGGAAGGCCCAAATGAAAGCTGAGCGAGAGAAGACGGCCAAGATGATGGACCTACAATACTTCCTGGAGATGGTGGACCAGAAGCATCGATACGGCAGCAATCTCAGAGCCTATCACGATCAATGGAAGAAAACGGATACTCACGAGAACTTCTTCTACTGGTTGGACGACGGAGGTGGGAAAGATTTCGAGCATCCAACAGTGTCGCGGGACAGACTGGAAAAGGAGCAGGTCCGGTATCTTACAAGGGAAGAGCGCATGAAATACCTGGTCAAGATCGACAATGATGGTCGCCTATGTTGGGCCAAAAACGGTGAGCGTGTACACACGTCTCCGGACTACAAAGACAGCATGGAAGGCATCGTACACGCGGACGAAGGCGCCCCGACGTATGCCGCCTATGGCAAGATAGAAAGTGGAACTGGCCAAACTCATCCTCGGCACCATCATCACAACCGGAGCCGGAGGAGTTCGACATCTAGTTCGAGCTCAGATTCAAGCAGCTCCAGTTTCTCCAGTTCAGGCGAACACAGCGATGTCGAAGGCGAACACTATGTCAACCGTGACCTCAACAACGCGAAAGGTCTCGCGAAGATCAAATACGTATCCGCCGCTACCATCCTCAACCGCCTCCTCCGCAGCTCCGTCAAACCCAACACATGGATCTTTGTAAGTTCCCCCCCCCTCCTACCTCAACCCTACCTAACAACCCAACCCCACAGGTCGCAGACACTTCCTTCCGCCTCTACATCGGCATCAAGCAATCAGGCGCCTTCCAACACAGTTCCTTCCTACACGGCGCGCGCATCTCCGCCGCGGGCCTCATAAAAGTCAAAGACGGCCAACTGCGCCGCCTCTCCCCGCTCTCCGGGCACTACCGGCCCCCGACCAAGAACTTCCGCGCCTTCGTCCACTCCCTCCAGGCCGGCGGCGTCGACATGTCGCGCGTGTCCATCTCGCGCTCGTACGCCGTGCTCGTCGGCCTCGAAGCCTACGTGAAAACGCGGAGGAAGTTTAAGCATGGCGTGCAGCATGCGTCGAATGCGGAAACGAAGATCATGCATCCGGAAGAACACAGGAAGAAGAAAGAGGAGGAGCTGGATAAGAGTAAGAGTGCGCAGCGTGAGCGGCAGCTACTGGCTGAGAACGCGGAGAAGGAAGAGGCGGAGAGAAGGGAGAAGAGCTGGCACAGGAAGCTGTGGAGGCGAATGCGAGGGACGTCGATTTCGTCGAAAGACGAGGTTGCTAAAGCGAAGGACAACAAGGCGAAGAAGGTGCTGAGTAGCCCCGGTGAGGATGTTGAGAGTGGGATTCCTCCGGACGGTACGAGGAAGGACGCAGCTTCATCCTGATGAAGTTACTGTTGCTTTTGGTGGTCATGGCAATTTGTGCTAGGAGATGCAGTGCATAGCATGCTGCACGTTTTTGGGCGTTCCTGCATCTGACTTTTCATTGTTTGCTTATTCTTTTGGCTTGTTTCTGAGATACCTGTAATCGCCTTGACCGGCTCTCACATGCATTAATGATCTCTTGCACATATGGTATGTTAAGTTAATGGTATATACTCTGTACGACCGACTATAAATATTCACTTTCTTCATCATTGCTGTCACTGTAAAGTTCCACCTTCTATGTCCCTTATCATCTATTCAGACCTCCAAGAAGTATTAGCCATTACAAGACTCGTGTCTCGCGCCCCACGGGCCGTAGGAACCAGAATCCAGACCAGAAATAAACTTCAAGCTTAAACGCGTGCGATCGGAGCGAGCGTTTGTGTTACCTTGCCGTTGAATCCATCCAATTGATGATCGGTGAGCTAGAACGCATTGGGATGGCAGCCCGTTTGCCCCGCGTAAACTTTCTTTCTGACATCATCATGGCCCGAGCTTCTAATTCGCTATCCATGGTTCTGGTTGCGTACGTGCGCAGGTTGCACGTCGCGGGTTGAGTAGATAGAGCGTTATCCAATCACGATGCTTGGGGGACTGTGAGTTAGAGTTGAAACCGTTATACTCGTACAAAGTGCGGAGGTAATGATGTTGTGGTACGGAGTCAATATCGAAGATTCTCGGCGTGGGGAGGGGAAAGCATGCGTCCACGCGTAGGTAACATTGCGAATGGTACGGGAACTTCTCTAATTGTGTGGAACGACATGGCATGGCTACTGATTTTGTGTAGCATGCCATCATCATCGGAGACGTTGTCGATGTCATGTCATATATATGGAATTTGTGAAAGTGGTACGTAGAAGCGCGGGTACGTTGTTACAGGTATCCATCCTGCCCTGCTTCTGTTCCGTGGAGCGGGAACATACGAAGGATCCACAAGAATGCATATTCGTTCCGCATTACATAGTTCAATCGTCAGGAACCAGGAACAAGAAGACAAAGCAGATGAACTGACCTGTGCCGTGACTCGTGAGAGATATCACCTTTGGGCTTGTTCCTGCTCAATGAGCGGGACAAACCAAACGAGGCGGGACAGGATGGGACCTCGTTACCGTTGGCGTGAAACCTTATGAAGCCATGATGCCGCTACCCAGTGCCCCTGAGTGAACCGTTTCTTTTGAGCCGCCGTAGTGAAATGGATCAACGAGTGGTTAGATGCGTGCAACGAGTAAGAGGATAGGGACCAGGACGGTGGGACGCGAGACTGCTGTGCATGGATGGGCAGATGCCAGATTAGCATGCTAGTGGCGTAGAGTTATTTTTGAATTGCATATCGTGATATGGAGAAGGGGTACTGGTACTCGTAGGTGAACGTAATGCACCAGGGCAAATGTATTTCGTTGTCGTATAGGCGGAAATGGAAGGCAACGAACGCAGGGACTGAATGATGGGGTGTGTAGACGGAAACGAGCCGTAGAACGGGAAGTCGGAACTATCATGAGTCAAGACATATTGTTCCAATAATAATGGGATGACAATGATGGAAATCCATCGTACATACGGAATACCTGTGTTGTTGTGGAGCTATTGATGGCGAACGATGAGATGAGGATGTATCCACTTGTAGACAGATACATCGTAGGTTTGGAAAGGCATATGGACGCGAGAACGCTAGTCCTCGAACGCGTGTAAGCGAGAGTACACGACATGGGTTATCCCTGCTCATCCCGGCCGTTGGCTGATACACATGGACCAAGCGGCTGCCTCAAACGACGTCACTCCTATCCAACAATCCCATCCCATCTCTCTGTCTCTCCTCTTTCCCACCACCTTTCAGCTGCGGCGACGGCTCCCCCTCCCCCATTCCTGGTCCTGCTTTTCGGTGGCTCACAAACCTGCGACACGGCACGTCAAAAGAATGGGGATTGATCGTCACTATGTTACATGCCTCGTCCTGATAGGCCCGTCTCATCTTCGATTCACACCAACCTGTCGATGCTCACCAGAATACCGTCGATCGGGGTCTGGCCTCTTTACCAGCCTTCCATGCCCGTGTACCAACCGTACGCTAGAGCCTAGCATTGCAGGCTTCCCACTCTGTTGCACTAGATGATACCTCTCCTCTCGAACATGAGAAATGGGGGGGACCAGAAAGACAGTGAAAACGAAGTATTCAGATGGGAAGAGCAGCAGGTAATGTAAACCGTGAGTACTCCGTACACAATATACGGACTAGCTTGGTTGAGAATGCCATGGAGGATGATGGATGATGTCCCTTTGCCATCATCCTCTTCTTTGTTACGGGGGTAATTTACCTAGCTCCTTTCGTTTCCAGCATGGAGGATTCGACCCGTCGTCAACTGTTCGTCCCAGAACTCCGTAATCTGTAGTCGTTCCCAGCACGCAGATCCACTCGTTTCCGACTACCCTACATCTTACCTTGGCAGAAGTCCATCCCACATCATGCAACCTCATGCATCGTCGATTGCGACCCGCATCCTAATTCAGCCACAGCCCCCCCATGTGCTACTTACCCGCTCCTATGACACCAACCTGGCCCAGTAGGCCCATTAGGACCCAGTGTTACTGCTCTCCATGCTTTTCCATGCCTTCTATGCCATCCGCGCCAGGGAGCTCACGCCCCGCTCGATGCTGGTGCTGTGACGCAATGATGTTGCCGACCTTGCAGCTCTGTCGCACACAACACCTGTATCAAAGCCGCCAAAACAAGTTTCGTCCTCATAGAAAACCACATTTGCGGCGCGAGCTCACCCTTGTACGCGCAAGTCGAAGCTCTAATTCATACGTCATAAAACCAAAAGCGGCGGTTCATTTCCCAAAGCTCCCATAAAATCCTAGCTGCTCATCCCACCATCAAGCCATTTCCATACTCCCGCCTGTACAATAAAGACGAACCAATTCGTCAATTGATATATGACTGAAAACTCATCCAATTCCTACACCTATTACTCGTTCCCCCCGACGCCTAATAGAAACTCCCCCCGTTCAATCCGATCACGATCCATATCAAGCACTGCTTCAGCTTCATCACAACGAACATTCAAAAACCCACGAAAACTATTCCACGAAGAAGAAGATAATCAAGACAACATGCCTTCTCCAGCTGCAGGAAAGAGTGATACCCCCCGCACTCCCACTAAGCTCGGAAGGAAGCCCCAGCAGGCTGCGCCAAAGCTGGGCAAGAAGAATGTCGACGAGGCAGATACCCCCAGTCTGCCTCAAAAGCCATCAGACGAGACTCTGCGAGAAAAGGCAGAGGACGCACCAGAGAACGTGAAGGACACCAAGGACCAGGTCGAGGACACCGCCAAGAGCACCACAGGAAAGGTCTCACAAGCCGGTGGTGACGACGACCTTGAGCAGGTTGAACCTAAACCCGAGGACGACGAAGAGACCGCCGTCCAGGTCGAGGACGACGCCGAGGAGACTGCTGATGACGCAACACAGAAGGCCGGCGATGAGGCCGACACGAATGAAAACACCGAAGACGACGCAACAGATACTGCCAGCAAGGCCGCCGAGAGCGGCAAGCAGGCCGGGGAGGGTGCCTTGAGCGGCGCCCGTGGCCTCGCTGGACGAGCCTCAAACTTGGCCAAGAAGGGAGCCCAGGACCCCGCCGGCGAGGCAAAGGAGGCCGCCAGTGATGTGCAAGACACCGCTAGCGAAGCTGCACAGAAGACCCAGGACACCGTTGGTGACGCTGCCGAAGACGCCCAAGAGACCGCCGGTGACGCAACTGAGGAAGCTCGGGAGACCGCAGAGGGCACCGCAAGTGACGTCAAGACCTCTGTGGAGGACACCACCGGACAACAATTGCCCGACCTTTCCATTCTCAAGGGCCTCGAGGTCAATGAGGAGGGAATCGTTAATGACAAGGATGGCAACGCAATCGGCCGCCTTGTTGAAGGTGATGCCGAAGATCTCGCAGGATACGAGATTGGCGATGACGGCGAGATCCTCGACGATGACGGTGACCTTGTCGGCCGCACCGAGCTCCTTCCTGAGGCTGCCAAGGACCAGCTCCAGAAGGCTCAGAAACAACCCAAGCTGCCCGATATCAGCATATTGAAGGGCCTCACAGCCGACAAGACCGGCCAGATCCTCAATGAGGACGGCGACTTCGTTGGTCACTTGATCGAAGGCGACCCCTCTGAAATCCAAGGCTTGGAGTTCAACGAGAAGGGCGAGATTGTCGACGAGGATGGTAACGTCATTGCTCGCGCTGAACTCCACCCCGATGCCGCTGATCTCGTTGACCAAGACGAGGAAGAAGATGAAGACGAGGAGGAAGGCGAGCAGGGAGAGGAGGGTGGCCTTGTAGGCCGCGCTGCTGAACAGGCTGGTGAAGTCGCTGAGGGCGCCCAGGACACTGCCGAGGAGGCAGTCGAAGGCATCGAGGACGAACTTCCCGGCGTTGAGGCCCTCGAGGGTATGCAAGTCAACTCCGAGGGAGAGATCCTCAACGATGAGGGCGAAGTCGTCGGCCAGCTTGCCGAAGGCGAGCTCGACGATGTCAAGGGCCTCACTGTTAACGACAAGGGTGAGGTCGTGGACTCCGAGGGCAACGTTCTTGGAAAGGTCGAACTCGCAGAGGGTGGCGCCGAGAAGCTCAAGGAGGCTGCCCAGGGTGCTCTCGATATCCGCATCCTGGAAGGTCTCAAAGTCAACAAAAAGGGCAAGGTCCTCGATGAGGAGGGCGAAGAGATTGGCGAGCTCAAGGATGGCGAACTCAAGGACTGCGCCGGCAAGACCATCAACGACAAGGGCGAGGTTCTCGACAAGGAGGGCAATGTCATCGGCAAGGTCGAGGTTGTCTCTGGCGAGGCTGCATTCGAAGCCTTGAAGGCCCTCAAGGAGAGGCTCGGAGATGCCGAGGGAGAGGTCAAGGAGGTCGAAATCACGCCTGACCTTGACATCCTCGATGGACTTAAGGTCAACAAGAAGGGCCAGGTCTTGAACGAGGATGGCGAACCCATTGGTGAGCTTGCCGAAGGTGATATCGCGGAGTGCGCTGGCAAGAAGATCAATGAGAAGGGTGAGGTCCTCGACAAGGACGGAAACGTCATTGGAAAGGTCCGAACTCTTCCTCAAATTGTCGAGCAGAAGGTCGGCGAGGCCGAGGAGGCCGCCGAGGATGCCGAACAGGCTGCTGAAGATGCGGAAGAGGCTGCTGAGGAGGCCGTCGGAGAGAAGCTCCCACTTGACATTCTCGAGGGCTTGACTGTCAACAAGGCCGGCAAACTCATCGACGCTGACGGTAACATTGTTGGTGAGCTCGTTGAGGGTGATGCCAAGAAGCTCTCAAAGTCTGGCATCACCGCTGATGCCGAGGGACGTTTCTGGGACAACAAGGGCAACGTCATCGGCCGCGCTGAGACTGTTGTTAGGGAGGATGCCGAGGAAGAGGCTCCCTTCGCTGGCCTTGAAGGTCTCCTTGTCACAAAGGGAGGCTGGGTCGAAGACGAGAACGGCAACCGTGTCGGTCAGGTCGTTGAAGGCGATGCCAAGAAGCTTGTTGGCCGCGCCGTTGACGAGGACGGTGACATTATCGACAAGAAGGGTTCAGTCGTTGGACACGCTGAGCGCTGGGAGGAGCCTGACGAGGAGCCCGAGCCAGAGGCAGAGGCCATTGACCTCTCCGACCTTGAGGGTAAGACTGTCAACAAGCAGGGTAATGTCATTGGCGAGGAAGGTGTTCCCGTCGCCCGCCTTGTTGAGGGTAACCCGAAGGAGCTTGCTGGTAAGCAACTTGACGACCAAGGCCAGATCTGGAACGACAAGGGCAAGGTCATTGGCCGTGTCGAGCTCATCCCACCGGAGGAGCGCGAGTCCAAGCCTGAGGGACCATTCGCTGGTCTCCAAGGCCTCCGTGTTGTCAAGGATGGATACATTGCCGATGAAGACGAAAACATCGTCGGTACTGTCATTGAAGGCAACCCTAAGCGTCTTGTTGGTCTTGCTGTTGACGAAGACGGTGACATTCTTGACAAGTACGGCAACGTCAAGGGCCACGCTGAGCCAATCGAGGAGGAGGAGGAAATCCCCGATGACCTCTCCGTACTTGATGGCCTCACTCTGAACAAGCAGGGCTACCTCGTTAACAGCGACGGCATCCCTGTTGGCCGTCTCGTTGAGGGCAACTTGAAGGACCTTGCCGGACTCAAGTCTGATGGCGAGGGCCAGATCCACAACGACACTGGTAAGGTTGTCGGCCGCTGCGAGCTCATTCCCGAGAACGAGCGCGTCACCAAGCAGGAGGGACCTTTCGCTGGTCTTGAGGGCTTGCGCGTCGTCAAGGATGGCTTCGTCGAGGATGCCGATGGCAACAGAGTTGGCCAGATTACCGAGGGCGATCCCAAGAAGCTCGTCGGAAACGCTGTCGATGAAGACGGAGACATCATCGACAAATATGGCAATGTCAAGGGCCACGCCGAGCCATGGGAGGAAGAGGAAGAGGCCGAGATCGACCTTTCTGCCCTTGCTGGCTGCACTGTCAACAAGGCAGGCAACGTCGTCGATTCTTCTGGCACCATCCTTGGACGTGTCGCCGAGGGCGACCCTCAGACCATGGTCGGCAAGAAGGTCGATGGCAAGGGACAGATCTGGGACAATGCCGGCAACGTCATTGGCCGTGCTGAGCTTGTCCAGGGAGCCTCCTCTGGCCCTGAGGGACCATTCGCTGGTTTCGATAACAACTCGGTGGCCAAGGATGGAACTGTCCAGACTCCTGATGGCACTATCATTGGTCGTGTCATCGAAGGTGACATCCAGAAACTTGTCGGCCACACTGTCGACGAGGATGGAGACATCAATGATAAGAACGGTAATGTCATTGGTAAGGCTGAGCGCTGGGAGCCCGAAGAGAAGGAGCGCCGCATCAACCCCATGGCTGGCATGCGTGTCAACAAGGAGGGCGAGGTCCGTGATGAGAATGGCGATGTCATTGGCCGTCTCACTGCTGGTGACCTTGGCCACTGTGCTGGTCTTGAGATCGATGATAACGGTTATGTCATTGACAACGATGGCAACAAGGTCGGCGAGGTTACTCTCCTCGAGAACATCCAGGAGGAAGAGGAGGAGCCCAATGAGGATGCTGAGCTTGCCAACAAGATGGCCAACATCTGCCAGCAGACTCTCGAGCGCATTCAGCCCGTGTGCAAGCAAATCACAGAGGTATGTTCAATTCTAAATTCGTTTATGTTACTCTTTACTAACATGACCTCAGTACATCGAGGCGGCTGACCGCACTCCCCGTGACGAGCTCGATGAAGAGGAGCTTGTCAACAACGTCAAGCCTCTCATCGAAGAAGGTGGACGTATCCTCCAGGAGTGCAATGGCTCCCTCCGAGGCCTTGACCCCGATGGTCGCATTGCCGCCCAAGCTAAGGGTCGTGCAGAGACCCGCGAGGCCACTCCCGAGGAGTACCGTCTTGCTGATCTCCTCAAGGAGATTACCACTTCCGTTGTCACCACCATCGACAACGCGAAGAAGAAGATCGCTGACATGCCCCATGCCAAGAAGAAGCTCAACCCTCTCTGGGCTCTCCTCACCGAGCCTCTCTTCCAGATCATCGCTGCCGTTGGCCTGCTCCTCACAGGTGTTCTCAACCTTGTCGGTAGGCTCCTCAACGGCCTCGGTCTAGGAGGTCTCGTCAACGGTCTGCTCGGCGGTCTAGGTATTGATAAGCTCCTTGGTGGTCTTGGACTTGGCTCTCTCTCTGACGTCCTCGGTGGCGGAAAGGAGAAGAAGAAGAGTGGCGGCGGTGCGAAGAACCTACCCATTGTCGGCGGCCTCCTCGGCGGCAAGTAAACATCGTAACACTTTCTGAGTGTTCGGTGATTGCTAGCTGAAGCAGTGCTTGCCCTTCCATTGGATCGAGATTGGATCACGAACGTTTCTGTTTACATTTCCTTCATCTTGTGTTTTATTCCGATATTATGATATGATACCACACCATATTTCATATTCACCATCTCAAACGCCCACAACCCACGTTACTACTCTGGGAACCCGCCATCGAAATCGAGAAAAGAGGAGGATTAAAGGCGAGCGGCACGGCGAAAGAAGAAAGAATGTCATGTTGTCCGAGGATCGGGGGGTTCAACGACAACCCAAATGCTTTCTTTCTCAATCATCTGTCCTTTTCCTTACCTTACTCTCATCCCGATTGTTCCCCGATGCGGGCTCTCTTTGGATGAGTTTCTCTTTTCTCTCCCTCTTGGGATATGGTCCAGGCTTGTACAGCCCAACAAAATTATTTCCTTTGTCAGTGTGATTTGTGTGCTTTTTAGCTATGGCGCTGTCTTGTTTTAGGCCTTTTCCTTTTCGGTTGCAGCAAAGCATTTTAGGTTATTGTATGATTAGCTGGAGAAAAACGTAATGTGTGTAGATGGTAGTAAAGACAATGCATGCTTAAAAATAGTTCGCTCTTCTCACACTTGATCATGATGGGGTTGATGTGAAGTCGACTGTGACATGGTCTGTGATGGTGTATTCGCATTTCAGACTGTCAACGCATGAGATTGATCGCGACTTTTGTCATCTGATATAACTAACTTATCAGATCATTATGGGGACCAAGAGGAAGGGTGGAGACTTATTAGTTTCCTGGGCTAAATTCAGTCTCCATTTCTCTTTACAGATACCCACCTGGTAATAACTCATCGCATACTCTGAATAGTTATGCAATATGGAGTACCAACTTCCCAACTCAAGCAAACTCGGCTGTCGTCGTATTTGCCTCCAAAAGTTTGCCTTCAGAACTATCGAAATCTACTTTGGGATATTTCTAAAAACCAAATTTAGACACTCTACCATCGAACGGGGAACCCGTTCTAGAAGTGTCAGGCCCTGATACGAGAATTGCAAGGCCCCCAGGAACGATCCTCCACCAATCACGACCTCCGCGCAAATTACAACTCACAACTGCGATCCTACGCTTGTCCCCTTGCCTACAAATACTATGCCCACATCGTGTGGTTTACGGCAGGGACTTGCTATTATCCGGGGGAACAGTTAGATGGTAAAACGCCTGCAGAACCGAGCGCGGCCTGGCGGTGCGAGGCTTATATGCTTAATATTTGCCGATGACCCTTTCGCGATGCGACCCTGGACTAGATCACGATACTATATATTTTCTGCATTTCCGTCTTATTCGCATGTTGATGAATTTTTCTCGCCCTGGGTATTGAGTTCACTCCTGGTCCAACATCAAACATACGAAAGATGTCACTACTTCTCCCACTCATCGCCCTCGTGGCGACAACCTCCGCCAACCTCACCACCAGCATCTGGCAGCCCGCAAACGTGCCCGACAAATACGGCTACCTCGCCTCTGTGATCGGTGTCTCCAAAGACCGCACGACACTCGCCCTGGAATACGACGAAGACACCGCCAACCCCAGCAACACCCACAACATCCGCACAGGGCAGACCTACACCATCACGGTCGGACCAACCTACTGGGAGTCCTCGACGAGCGATCAACTCGGCGTGAGCACCATGTACACCGAAGGCATACCCGAGTCATTAGACCTCTCCTACCACGGCGCATGCGAGATCAAAACCGCGGGCAGCCCTCCCGCATGCTCCTGGACGTGGGGCGCCGACCTCGCGCGCAACAACGTCTGTAGGAGTGTGTTCAATCAGCGTTTCAGCACGCCCATCGTGCGCACTGAAGTCTTCACCTACAGCGCGGGTATGAACTCGCCGTCTGCGGTGGTCACGACGGAGCTCACGCTGATTGATGGTAAACCGACGCCGACTCCGGACCCCAGCTGGTGCCAGAATACTTTGTCAAACGGCAAGGTTGGGTCGGTGCCGGACAGTGAGAGGATGGGCACCACGGTGCTGAATGTTTGGCAGGTCATTTCTTATCAGGTGGTGGTTACGGCGGGTGAGGAGAAGTTGAAGGCGACGACTGGGGCAGCGGGTTCGGCTGCGACGGGGGATGTGGCAACGACGAAGACTGGGACGGGGGCTGCGGTGCCGATGAGGACTGCGGCTCCGTTGGTTGGGCTGGGTGCTGCTGTTGCGGCGGTGTTCTTGTGAGGCATAGATCTATGATGAATTTAGTAATTTGTAATGACTGCAATTGATGTCTCCGATGAGATAAAGTTTCCTGTGCAGATTGAGAAACATAAGTTGGTGCATGGTCACTTGTCTGGTCACTGACGTGAATTTGAAAAGTATGGCAACAGTGATCCAATCGCTATATTTCTTTTTCCCGTAGATTATACTAGATCGATAACGACGCATACTCGTCGGTGGTCTCGATCAATTTCTTCTTCGTTCCGGGCTCCGTAGCGGCGTGCCCAGCATCAGATATCCAATGCAACTTAGACTCGGGCCAGGCTTTGTAGAGTTCCCAAGCAGAGATGGGTGGGCACACCACATCGTAACGGCCTTGGACAATGGTTCCTATATGTAATTTAGCCTTTGTTATCTCAAGGTTATAAGGGGCTCAAGGGCTGCGAAGTGGATATACCTGGGATGTGTCGCATCTTATCAATATTCTCTTTGCGAAGCAGCTGGCCCTCCTCTAACCATGCCTTGTTGTTAAAGTAATGCGCTTCCGTCCTAGCATGCGCCAGTAGATATGTCGGATCATCAAGCTGTGTCAAGCCCGCGGTATTTGGGTACAGGGTGCTGATGGAGATCTCCCATTTGTTCCACGCCGTAGCTGCGGGGTGACTGATACTCTCATCGTCAGACATGAGCCGCTTGTGGTACGACGCAACATGATCCGCACGTTCCTCTTCCGGCAGGAAGTTGACGAACTCGTCGAAGTGATCTGGGTAGAGCATGCTTGCGCCTCCCGGCTCCATTGTCCACTTCAATTCCAGGTCGCGGACAGCGAAGATTCCGCGTAGGACAAGAGAGCCGACGGAATTGGGATGTGTCTGAGCGTACGCTAGAGCTAGGGTACTACCCCAGGATCCGCCGAAGACGACATGCCATTTGGGGATCTTCAAATGCTCACGCAGGGCTTCGAGGTCGGCGACTAAATGCCAGGTGGTGTTGTCGACAGTGCTTGCATTTGGACGAGACTTGCCGCAACCACGCTGGTCGAGAAGAACTACACGATACTCTGCAGGATTGAAGAAGGAAGTATTGCCTTTCGTAATGTGACCGCCAGGACCTCCGTGTAGATAGATGGCTGTAATATATGTTAACGATGGCTCAATGATGATAAGGGTGTGTAGGCACAGCGGGTTCATTCTAGCGCTGGTAAGCGTCCAACATACCTGGCTTTCCATCTTTCTTTCCGTATTGCTCATAGTACAATTCGTGTGTGTCGTCAACCTTGAGCCAGTTTGTGTCCCAGGCGTCGTCATGCGCGTATCCAGTGACTGGCGTTTGGGCCATGTTTACGGTCCGAGGTGTAGTTGAGGTTGGATTCCAGGGGGAAAAGGATTGACACAACCGAGACCTTATATATAATTACCAAAATCCGTGAGTTAGGCTGCTATCCAGTAGGTTGAAGTCCACGTGAAGCCACTGGAGAAGACATCGACGGCCCCGCCCTAAAATCCAGCTCACCTGCCGAATCAGGTTAGCTCGGATTCATCTCTGGTGATATTCCATCGACGTCTGAGGTGTAAGGTTTGCAATATAAATGATTGAAGTTTGTTATTACTGCTGATATGCCTGGTTCTTCATATCTTTACTATCGTCATCGTGCGGAACGAAGGGATCATGAATTGCTTTTTCGAGGAAAACGCCTAGGATGCGTTTTGATCATGCCGACATCCGTATGCATGAGTGGGGTGCCGACCAGTACGGATACGATGTATTGACATTCCTTGTGTCTGCAATACGTATTATTCTTCTGGATCATGTTGAAATACGGGTATTAAATCTGACAACGACCTCATATAGGTGAGACTTTTGCATTCTCGAAAATTTACGTACATCCCAACCTAGCCTACCTAAATAAACCAAGCAATCAATCAATCGATCAATGTCCAGTGATATTCCCGATGCCCACGTATTTATCATTAAACTCTTGTACGGATTCAAAGCTCATAAAACGCGGGGTTACGGATCTAGTATTATATCAGCGCATTAAGTGCCCAATAGCTATTGTACTATTCCAGTGTGTGTACCTGATGTACCAGTACCTGTGCCAATCATTAAGTACATACAAACAAATGAATAGCCTATCACAACGATCTTCAGTCCTTACTTGTACTGCCCAGTAGTGGTAAAAGTAAAGAACATTCATCGAGAGCTCCTTACATAATACTCTCCAGGCTCCCAGATTACTATTTTCGGATCAGCCTCATGCGACAAAGCACAGCATTCACTAACCTAAAGATAGTGAAGGATCCGGCGAGATCGGGGGAGATATGACCCCGCCCCAGCCCCGCCTTATTTAAACCTCCATTCCCTTCGCAATACAAGCTCACTGTAATCCAAACAGAAGTGCAGAACATAGGCAACTAAATCATCATCAGCCAAAGTAAAATCGAGCAGCAACCATGACGAAGGGCTCATCTGGAAACTCAGGTTCAAGCAGTGGCAGCAAAGGCTACACTGTGACCAGCTCCGGTACCAACAGTCAGGTAATTTCATCCTGTGAAACCATCAAAAACATACCTATAGTGTTTCCAGTTTCTCACTGATTTGATCGTCGTACAGGGCAACCATTACTGCAACCGCGACTACGGCCCGTCTGCTACTAATCAAAACTCCTACCATTATTCCAACACCAATGGCTCATACTACTATAGTAACCCTAACGTCAGTACTTCTGATTGAAACCGAGAAATAAGCTGACATTGCAATAGGGTTCGACTTATTACAATGATGGCCGGGGAAATGCTACGTATAACCCTGGGAAGTAGTGAAAGCACCTAGAATGCATCATTGGCCTCCTTCCAACATATTCACGGTCCTCTTTGCAATTCGGGTAGCTCTGATGGCTCGCCATTTACACAGCTGTAGTTCAATACCATCAGCATACATGTTGGACTATTTCATAGCTAGCTTGGCAACGAATCAACGAAGCAGTCCCATTAATCGGTCATCCTCTCATCTTTTCATACAAGTTTACTCTTTGATTCCATGCTGAGCACCATGCTCGGTAAGGTAATGTAAAGACATGTGTCAATAATACCATCGTTCGGTAGAATCACTTGGCCTTTCTTGAATCACAACCAACGCAACATACCTTTATAATCTTACCAATATCCCTTCAACTGATTTTAGGCTGATTCATGTGATTGGAAGTGTAGCCTGGAAGTGTTGCCTTTGCTTAATCAGCCTTTCTGTCTTCACAATCGAACACCCTTGCGCTATCTGCCACGTGCTCTTAGGTGCCAATATCTCAGTCAGGCTCATGCTCAACTCCAAATTCGAAATCATCCTTGAAATTCCCACAAAAGCCAAAATTCTAGCCCACGAATTGAAGTGTTTACACCACACTTCAGGTCACAACATCATGCCGAATGATTTCTCGTTTATTGTACTCGACAAACGAGAATTCTACGACGTTCACGTATGGGATGCCTCCTTTGTGGAAAACCAGATCCTTGTTCCAGTTCCAACCATAGGTATCCAGTATGTCATTGTAATCCTAAGGGCAACGTCAACGTTGTGCCCTAGTGAGTGGCTTTTCTGACAAGGAACAGTGAGAATGACAGCACTCTAAGGCTTACCGACAAAAAAATTGCCCTCCAGGCCCGAGAGAAGATGCGCGAAGGCCGTAAGGGCTTGAAACAGTTATGGACCACGAAGAAGTATGTTTGCCATGCCCCTTTGGAAGTGAAGTGCTTACCCCTCCTAAAGCGAAATCTCATTAGATGGCATGAGTACCCATAATAGCAGTATCCATACGGGCGATCAGGAGCTATTGAAAGAGAAATTCACATTTCAAGAAGATTCATCGAAAACATCTCTGTGGCGAAGAGTCAACGATACAACTCACCATGGCGACAAGACTACGCATATGCCCCAGTTGAACTTGAAGTTATTTCGAAACCTGCCCGAGGAGCTCCAAGAGCAGATTCTACAACGGGCGGACACCAAAGGAATCGCCTATTTGAGTTTGTTAGACCGCGGGATCTGCAGGATTGCTCGTGAAATCATCCAACGACGATATCAAAAGAAGCTAGGGACTTGGGCCGGCAAGCGACTATTCTTCATGTTTTTGAAAACCCGCGAACCAACACAGGGTGACGCCACTGCCAGAACTTACGCCGACTCCTCCCAGCGTGAAGAATCCCCCGACGATGGAGATTGGACGGTAGGCGGTTGTGCCAGCCTCCCTAGGGTCTTCGGCCTCGGAAAGAGCGTTGACAGCATTGACTTCTTTCACGATATCATCCATGAGCCCGAGGAATGTAACATATACAGAGGGTCAAGCTTCTACCCAGTAGATCGGGTATGGATTCTGCGGAACTTAACGACCCGAGAGTATGTGAGGGGAGATGCTCTTAACGTAAGAGAAACGTCTGGCCCTTTTTACAAACGTCAAATCACATTTGGGGATATCGTTGCGCTCCGTGCTGTGTGGACTACACCATCGGATTTGAGACATGGCACTAATCAGCTTGGTATTCAAGGAAGTACCTGGCATCGTGGACCATGGGCAGGGCATGCTTTCGACATTGTAACTACAGAGCACCACGAGAGCACCAAGACGCAGACTGGCATCTGGAATGATGTTAGTGAGGAGGTTATGCAGTATCTAGTTAAGAAATATATGGCATAACATCGGACCCTTGATGCTAGGGGGATGGGGGGTTCGGTCTAGTGGCGTAAACTGATGATTGCTGAGATCAAGTCAGCCTCTCTCATTGTAGAGCAAATATTGAGTGTACACGAGGTTTAGGTTAGGTAGGTATCCAATTACTAAGAAGTTGGACAATGCTAGATATTCTTTATTGAAGAAATCCAGTTCATCGCAACATGCGTAATTTGCGAAAGACCAACCTTTTGAAGAAAGATTCAACATTCTCCTACCATCTCTCCAGGCCATACCATACTAGAAGAAGTTGGCCCACAATTATATTCCTCGAATCGATGATGTTTATCATTTCCGGATCGGGGCTTCGACCTAGGTCTCGTGACAGCGCGTTAGAGCCGCCTTAACGCGTTCTTAGGCTACATCGTCATTGAGGGGTCCACGAACCACCTCACACTTTGTCATATTCACCTTTCGAGCCCGCAATCCCCTAGATCACGACTCGATGCTTGGTCAGTGGTTAAAAAAGTCGAATCAGTCTTCACCCGAGAAATCACGTCCTGCGAAGCGTCCGAAGCTCGACCCATCTCCCTCGAAACCTCCACCTGCGCCTAAGTTTGACAGCAGAGGAATTCCTGACTCCGAAGCCGAAGAGGATGACATAGTAGAGGAGGATGCAGGACCCACCAAGAAGACGGATCTTGAGAGCGCGCTACCTCCCGTGAAGACGGACGCTGAGGCGTTGGAGGAGTATGAAGCGTTCAAGGCGTCGCAAGACGCGGATACCGGCGATGCAGAGGGGCGATTGAAAGACAGAAAGTGGATACGAGGAAAGAGTTCATTATACGTCGACGCATTCAATTTAGCGCTAGACACCGTTCTAGATGAGGAGAGCCATCTGTTCGATGAGGCTGAGATGGATGCATTTGGGCAGTGGCGAGATCTGTCCTACGAGGCACAGTATCTCTACGTACGATTGTTCCTGCGCAAAACCTCTGCGTGGCATAGAATACGAAATCTTGGATACCATAGCGATATATCCGACCCTGACGCCGCGATCGAGCTTTTGCAACGTGTACGGGACCTACCACAAGCATCGTCGAAGGTCGAAGCGTACCCTGGCGAGCTGGAACCGCCGGCGGGGACATCTTTAGGCACATCATTTACCTTTGCGGATCGATCAGAAGATGAGATCAATACTTTGGAGGAGGCTTCATCCTTGCTGAAACTTGATGAATTGAAAGCTCTCGCGAAAGACGCTAAAGTTCAAGGGAAGAACAAAAAGGAGCTGCTCAAGGCGCTACGGAGAACCAGTCAAAGACAGGTCGGTTTGGGGTTCGTTGGACTAAGAAGGTCTGATACAGAATCATCAAGGCGATCGTCAACCTCTGGATTGGATACTCCAGAGAATGAGCCGGTGGAGGACCCTGCGACGGATGCCAATCGTGACACGCATTTTACTCGCAAGATTATGAGTGGAACTGGTCCATGTATACGGCTATCTCTGGCGCCTCTCAGACTATTTGAGAGAGTTCACCTAGTCTTCTATCGATCCACCGAATGGACTGAGAAATCTCTCACTACCATCATTCTCGCAAAGATAGCGCGGCGCAATTTCCCAGAATACATCGTGTCTCGATCCGCCAACATATTTGCATCGCGTTCACTGTTACTGGAATTTGAGGCCTCCATACGAACACAATTTCGCATTGATAACATCCTGGAGTTCAACGGTAGGCCTACCGAACAGGGCTACCAGGAGATCATTGACATATCTGAAGAAGTCTACCCACGATGGAAGGCTCTGCTGAAGGAAGAACAAATCAAGGAAGCCAGCATATACTATAGTGGTGAGGGTGCATATCTCAGGCGTCTTTCTCCAGCCTGGGTCTACACCCGCATTCTACACAAAGCGAACTCCGTCCTTGCACGTCGGAAGGAACATAAGCATGAGCATGAACGCCATGCTGAGTTGCTAGAACAGCGATTGTTCCATCACGCTAGGCGCGGTGCATGGTATCAACGCAAAGCTCTTTTAGAGGAGCACTACATGGCAGCTTTGTCGCCCAATGAAGGCCGAAGTGAAGATGCCCAGACAAAGCATTGGAAGCGAGTGGCATTAAAGACCTGCGAAGACGGACTGCAAGATCCACTGGTTCATATAATCTATCACTACGATCTTCAGAAGCGCATAATTAAGATAGAGAAGAGTCTCAAGATAGCCAAGCGGGCACAACACAACTTTGGACACGTTCGTCTCGCCAAACCAGCCGAGGTTACAATCGAAGGCATTCGGATTGAGCGTGAACAGCCTCTGAGCAGAAGAAATAGCTCCTCAAATCCCAGTGGTAAGCGAGGCGCGAAAACTATCTGGATCGACCCACGGGAAGGCGGAGAGTGTTCTGTAGAAGAAATGTGCCTCTCACACTACCGCGACCAAGGTTGGAAAGGTTATCACAGCGAAGGTGGCATTGTTCGTACACTATTTGCCTATCTCTTCTGTGATATCATGTTTACATATATTCCGAACGTTTTCCAGACTCCTTATCAGACCTGTCCATTAGATCTTCATACTGATGCCTTCTTTCCTTCGCGGCTGTCCGAAATAAATCATCGACTTAACGAAATTTCAAACGGCGATGCCGAGTCTATTATCCAGCGGGTCTGGAATGATCAAAATGAGCGCCAAACTTGCATTGTAGGCCTTGACTGGACTTTCGAGATTGAGGATCTACTCGAGATCGCGAGGTGTTTCGAGGGCGAGGCTCTCGCTACCATTTGCAAAGTAATAGCACAGGACTATGCACAGCGAGGAGGAGGTGTCCCAGACCTGTTCCTATGGAAGGAAACAGAGGAAGTTGATGGAAGTGAAAAGGGAGATGGGCAGAGGAAAAGTATAGTAAAGTTCGCAGAGGTCAAGAGTGAAAATGATCGTCTAAGTGATACCCAGAGGTTATGGATCCACGTGCTCACTGGTGCTGGAATTGCTGTTGAGCTGTGCAATGCGGTTGCTAGGGAAGTTAGAATCGTTGATTAGTAGTGAATGTAATGTCGCCGTGTTTCACTCATGCCTAATTCGCTCACTCGATTGTTGATGTGCTCTTTTCACTACTCAACTCTAATCAAAGCCAACATTGTACATTCACCTCCCCACTCTGGAGAGGTTGCCTGCAGTATTGTATATGAACAATGCTCTTGGTGTTTTTCTTCCATTTTTTTTTCACTCTGCAACATCCATTCTCCTACTTCACCCTCTCTGAGAGGTTGTGGGAAATCACGCCAATATGATCCCCTGGATTACTAACCTTCTGTCTTCCCGGAACTCCCGTGTGACCAACCCTCAATCTCTATTGCACAGGGCGAATGGCGGTCGTGTTGAGAAAATTCACAGACGCCGACAACGAAAGCTTCCACGACGATCCAGCGGACTACTAGATGTATCTCACCAAGGGTTGTACACAGACATGTAAGTAGCAGGATCGAATTCGATTGTCCACTCGATGTAATTTTCTTCATGGTGGTACTTGTACTAATGTATTGCAGCATTGAGCAAAACGGACGTTCACCTCTGCTTAGTCTTCCAGCCGAAATTCGTAATACAATATTTGCGTACGCATTGAGTGACAACATATTCCGATGGGACGCGCATGAGAAACGCCATTTCATCGAGGGGACGGGTAGAAATCTATTCGCCCTTCTTCGAACTTGCCGTCAGATCTACGCTGAGACTGCTCCTATCCCATTTCGCGGCAATACCTTTGAGTTCTGCTTCGATTCATTTATGGAAGGCCATTGGCAGAAACTATTTAAAATCTGGCATCTGATCACTTCGGTGCATCTTGTATGTCCGATGATAGGCCTTGTCTATAACCCTATGTGGCATGGAAACCTGTACCTCTTGGAAATATGGAAGTTCTTGCCCTCCCTCACTCAGGTGAAATTCGTCATTGATTATTGGTTCGATGGGAAACCAAGGCGCCTGAAAGGTTGGACTCGGTGCTGGCAAGGATGGATCATTGACCACTTCGTCAGGAACGAACAGTTCCTTCGCGAAAGGATTACGGACAAACATTCCGATCTAAACATTACGACTGAATGGCGGATTGGCTTCCTCGGGGATAGGGATGTTGACCTCGCTTATTCTGGAGCGTTAATACGGGAATCCATTGAATTCGACCAGTTCCTACTCGAAGCTTCAAAGTCAAAGAAGTAGTTCGGAACAATTCCCGAGACAAGAGAAGCGGACAATGCGTTGATTTTGGATTTTGGGGATGGAAATCAACATCGACTACAAACTACCCTCATCACTCATGGCACGTGAAGGTTCGAAGAACAAGGACTGCAGTTCCCTGATCCAATGCCTTTTATATGCCCTCAATACTCGGAAAACTCGATTGTACACATAAGTGCTCCAGCATCTGCATCTACGATGACATACGAAGAGAGGATCGGAAAACTCATCAGCATGACTATATCAAATTACATTCAACAGAAATATATATTAACCCTCACTGAATTTCATATCGCATGAATTCAGCACTAATAGTTCCTCGCTTACTGTAAATCATCGTTGATAGTAGGTAATGTGGCTTAAGTGAGTAGTTAATTCGACCATCAATGACTGTGACCATGTGTGAAGGTATGATGATTCATTTCATGGGGTTGGATCGCGATAGGTATATTTATCATTGTATGCAACTGATTTATTGATTGTTGATGCCCAGAGTCACTGACATCGAAAGAGAGTCACAAGTATGCCAGAGTCATCACAACGAAGATGTAGTATTTGAGCTCGATTGCTCTTCAAGAATTATCCAAGATATACAGGATAAGACTTTGAGAAAGACCAAAGTCTTCATAAAAAACAACCCTGAAAATGTCTGCGAAAAAGGAAGAGTCCGTGATGCAGAAACAGGACCGGGAGTGGGTTGAGTTTCTGTCTAGGCAGATTGGACAGATGAATCCGACTCCTATGGCAAAAGATGCAAAAGGACAGATAATACTCATACACGAATCCCAAGGCAAGGGTTTTAATATACTCTTGAATGGACTCTTGGATGCTGTGCCTAAACACGACGAGAAAACTATGTAAGTCATGGCATATCATACAATACATATTGAAACTGATTTGCGGTGTGAAGGAGCTTGCCCAGGCGAACACAATGAGCCCATTGTTCAGCGTTCCCCCAGAAATTCGATTTGAAATCTTTACATGGGTGCATACAGGGACGGAGCTTACTGAAAACCCACAGGAGCATCTTCTCACGTGCGGGCAGCACTATGTCGAGAATAGGCTTCTAACATTTGCTTTGAACTGGCAGGAAGGCTACCTTCATCCGCTTCCAGAGCTCGATAATTTCGTGGCGCGCCTTGTCCCTGGACAGATGGAGGCGATTCAGTACCTGACGCTGTCATTTGACTGCGAGACTGGGCTAGCTCCTGGTATTGAGGTCGAGAAGCTGGCCCTGCTCACTGGACTTCGTCACCTACACGTGAAAATACTTGCATGGTTTTGCCAGTGTCCTGAACTTAGCAAAGATGATCATCATCTCGAGGCAGCAGTGAAGGTGGTTGACGAGAGAATTCTTGCCAAATCTTATCCCAAAAACGAAGACAAAGGGAGTGGGAGGTCGAATTACAAACTCATTGGGGGAGGAATCGTAACGTTCCACCTTTGTGATTCGCACGATGCATTCCTGTCTGAACAGAGTACGCTCAGTTGACTCATATCGGATGTTATTTGCTATGTTCTGAGTGTCCAGTCTTGGCTGTGCGCTTCTAATTCCTGCTATAATTTCATTTAGCTATCTTGCGACTATACAATAGAACTTGTGGCACTACATCAATAGTTCGTGTTCCAGTAAAATTGTCCGTATATTCGCTTACAGTGGAGGACCTCCTGGAGAACATGAACAGGTAATTTGCATGCGGAGTATCCCTGACCAGCGCATGGGCATTACCAAATGGCTTTCTGGGGATTGAGTACACGCAAATGATAGTCTGAAAACGCACAAGAGTCGCTCGGTAGCCGAAAGGATTGCTTCTCAAAATCAGACTGAGAGGGGTTCCAAAAGTAATCTATAGGAAGCTGCCTCCCGAGAAACGATCACCGAATCCTTTGGCTTTACTCAACATCTCGTTCCTCTGTTTGTGACCAATTTGAGTGCCACCGCCCATATCTTTCTTCCAGTCAAAGGACCGCTTGCTGGGGTCATCTTCCTTGTCTTTTCCAGTGCCACTGTCCTTGTGCTTTTCCATCAGGCTTTTACCCCGGGATGCATCGATCTTCTCGCGCATCCTTCGTGCCTGATCTTCCTCCTTTTGACTTCTTCTTGAGGTGGTGTCCGCCTCTTCTGAATTCGAAGGTGCAGCCACACCGAGTGCTTCGTTCTGCAACCTCTTAAGCTTTTGCTCCGGGGTCTCCGTCCATACACCCATGCCACCTCCGCCGGAAGGTCCCTTGGCACCCTTTCCAGTATTAAACTTCCGCGCTCGTATCTTCGTCGGATCCATCCGGGCTGCAAGATCATCTTGGGTGGGCGGCATTGTCATCCATTCATCTCGTTGGACCTTTTTGGACTCTTCAGTGTACTTCGGATCTGTATCAAAGGCTGATGGACCAGGGTTTGTATCTTCAGCATCATACGCTACGGACACACCACCAGCTGGAGGCGGTGCGGGACCGAAGTCGTCATCACTGCTGTCTGAATCGTCGGAAGGAGGGTTTGGCGGTCGTTCTGAAAGTGGTGCAGGCGGTAGAGCCGGGCCTAGTACGCGAGCGGGCTTTGAAGAAGGTGGAGGCGCAGGACCGATATCGCTATCTGGACTGGAGGAACGAGAGTTCGGGCGAGGAGGTAAAGATGGACCAGAAATGCGCGGTGGTCGAGCTGGCCCTGCGACGCGCTGGCGCTTCTCGCTGGATTCTGGGCTGGTCGATCGTTCGTTGTCGTCTTCGTCACGACCGCGCTTGGCGAGATGTGGAGGTAATGATGGTCCTACCGTGGGCATTTTGATGGTTGAGGGGGTTTGTTGTTGAGTATTGAAGTTGTGTAATTATTCGTGAATCGCGCAAGGTGAGGTTGCTTGCTTGGAGCTTTGACTTCGGCAATTGCCGGGCTATCCACCAACTGCGCCTTGGACGAGGAGCTTGATGGAGCTTCCTCCATCATTGTGAACGCGCGCAAACAGTCGCCAGAGTCGGTCCTGTTCCTGTACTTTCTTTGGTAATCCACGTGGTCTCTAAACATAACGAACACGCCCATACCTAATCGTAATTACGAACTCGATCGTTCTTCGATAACGCGAATCCCCCAGGCACCATCGTAATACCATATCGACGTCCACAGTGTGCGCCCGTAACAGCCTGGATTGATATACCTGTGCAAGGGGAATGTTGTAGGAGGTTATACAATAATTTGACGCCATTTGCGCTCGCTTCAATCGCCGACCTCTCCCGTGAAGCAATGCTTTGCGACCTACGAGCCTCATGAGCTCAGAATCGGGCGAGAGCCATGCCAGCGCTCACGATGATCGCATAGGCGACGATGGCGGTGACTCGATTCCCCCGGATTCCCCCGTGGATGCGAGAGGCGGAGGAGAGCCAGATACTTATGGCGGAGGGACTGCTGGCGATAATGATGAACGACAGGAGTTGGAATCATTGAGCAGCGGGGCAAATGGTTTGAGATTCGTGACACGGAAAGCTTCCCATGATTATTATAATGAGGATGAATCCTCAACATCTGAACTGCCAACACGGCCGCGTCTGCCCAGGCCTGGAAGCCCAGAGTCAACATCTAACCCGGACGATACGCCGTCTATACAGGTATGCGAACCTTGGAGAGCGGGAGGAGTGAGAATGTACTGATCTGTATAGGGATCCGTGCTGTCGTCGCCAGGAAGTAGCATTCCCGCCTCTCATAGTTCCTTGCGCGGTCACAGACCTACTTCCCTCCAACCATTTGAGCGGCGGTTTTCCTCCCGCCTATCTCCATCTCCGCTTGGGACGCCGAGGACCGTATCGTCCCCGAACTTTCTATCATCACACTCTCGCCAATCTTCGCTTTCCAGTAATTTGCTGTTCCAGATCCAGCAGGATGAGTCGGATACACCACAGGCACCTTGGGATGTGGTACGATGGACAAAATTGAAGAAGATAACAGGGCAGGTCTTCTCGGAGGTTGGGAAGCGTAACTTTGGACGCGCGACATGTCTTAGTGTCGCCGCGTCCCTGGTAGTTGGAACGTCGAAAGGATTCATCCTTGTCTTTGACTACCAACAGGTTTTGAAATCCATCATAGGCCCAGGAACAAAAGGTCTGTCGCATAATTTGCAATGTAACAATGCTTTGCTGACAAGAAACAGCGATCGAGTGCGGACCAGTGACTGCTTTAGCGATATCTGCAGATCATTCTACAATTGCTGGCGGCCATGCTACCGGACATATATTTACCTGGGAACTTGCAAGGCCAGCGAAGCCGTTTCTACATATACCCCCCCTTGATCGAGCTTCTCTAGACAATCGAAATGCAGATGGCCATGTGTCAGGAGTAGCCATTCTACACATCGGCTTCTTAGGCATTCGACATACCGCGCTGGTCTCCGCAGACGATGGCGGAATGGCCTTCTCCCACCTTGCAACACGAGGTCTAGGAGCAATCGCGAGAAACGTCAAAATTACTCGGATCCTTGGACGCTATCCCTTGACTACGAAGTCTGAAGAACGACCGCGGAAACCAAGCTCAGTGCTAGCTTTTGCACCACTACCCCTGGGCAACATCGAACAACCTACTGACACTATGGGGCTCACGGCGCTTCTCACTCCTTACCTCCTAGTCATTGTTTCTACCACACCCTTGGCTCAGACGCAGCACAAAGCTTCACGCCCCAAAGAAATTGTGCCACATAGCGCATTGAGCGGCTGTCTCGCTTGGTTTCCGGCCGTCAAACTCAAGAATCCATCTGGGGATCCCAGTAAAGCTGTTTCGAAGACCAAGCTTGTGTATTGCTGGTCAAATATTCTGACCATCCTGGACGTTGATCAAAGAGTGGCGGCTCCTACTGAGAGAGAGAAGCCCACCGAACTTCATTTCAGGGCTCGAAGCAGGTGGAGGTGTGAAGAAGCCATCGTTGCCGTAAACTGGTTGAGTCGCTCCGTACTGGGCGTTCTCACCATAAGCCAACGTCTGATCATCTTAGAAGACAATACACTGCGGATGACCGACAGCTTTGACCTTTTGCAGAAACAAATCTATCATTCTGATCTTTTCTCTCGGCAGCTTCTGCCGGTGATCGAGCAGTATGATGAAGAAGACTCTTCGATGCACGGGGTAGTAGCTGACGCTTTCTACATGAGTTTTCGAGCTTACAAAGGGAGACTATTTCTCCTCGGATTTAACGACATCTCTATAGGCACGTTGTCCAATTGGGCGGACAGACTGCTTGCCCTGATGGAGTATGGTGATTATATCACAGCCATTACCCTAGCGACGACATATTACGTCGGTGACGCCGATAAGTTGACTGTTGGCTTACCCGATGACGATAATGCAAGACATGCACTCGTCAAGGAGAAGCTACAAGAGATGATCTCCGCCTCTTTGAAATACTCATTTTCCCGAACAGATGGAGAGAAGCAGATTACCGAACTAGCTGAAGCTTGCTTTTCAGGGTGTCTCAGCATGGGCGATCTGGACTACTTATTTGAGGACGTGTATGACGCTTTCGAGGAAAACTCAGAAGAGAAAGTGTTTTTCGAGACTCTGGAGCCGTATATCGTGGACGAGCGGATCACGACCCTTCCACCAAATGTTTTGAAAGATCTTATCACATTTTACGCCTCATCTGGGCGCGCGACCAGACTTGAAGAAATGATTTGTCGACTTAGCACCGATACCATGGATCTCAATCAAACCACGACATTATTCGAACAGTACAATCTATACGACGCATTGATTTATGTCTGGACACGGGCCATTGGAGATTATATCACACCTTTGGTCAACATCCTGTCGCTCATCAAGATATTAGACTTCGATTTAGACGAGACCGAGAACGTGTATATGGCGTCCGCGATGAAGCTCTTTCCATATCTGGCATATACTCTGACTGGACGGGTTTACCCAGGAGGAGCGTTTATGGATGATGACCAAGCCTTCAGTGCAAAGAAAGATATGTATCGCTTCTTGTTCTCGGGCAGCAACATTGCCTGGCCACCAGGATCCGGAGACATGGTTCTTACAAGGACAGATAAGGGGAAAGAGCCCGAGTTTCCGTACCTACGCCTCGTTCTCGAATTTGATGCATCTAGTTTCATGAGCATGCTGAACGAGGCTTTCGAAGACAGCTTCTTAAATGAAGAGCAGGACGCCTTCAACGGCTCCAATACAAACGGGACGAAGAACGGATCTTCTTTGACGCCAACTCGTCAATATATCATCAACATTCTGCTAGGTATCATGACGACGGAGAATTTCGACCCCGAAGACATCCTTTACTTTTATATGTTCATTGCTCGCAACCTACCCAAGTACCCACAGTATATTCTCCTTCCAGGGTCATCTTTGCACAAGATCCTCGTAGGCCTCTGCAATTACCCTACCGATATCGTTAAGGATGACTGCCAGGTTTCAGTCGAGTATCTTCTGTCGGTCTACCAACCGTCGGACTACCAAAGTCTTGTACCACTGTTCGAGCTTGCAGGGTTTCACAGGGTGCTAAAGTCAGTCTACCGAAATTCGCAGCAGTATGCTAAGCTTCTCGAAACATACCTCAACGATACTGAAGACGAAGATGGTGCATTCGATTGCATTGGCGATTGCCTACGCCCTAGTAAAGGGCTTAATGGGAAACAGACCGCTGCATTCAAGTCGGTCATTCTGGATCGTGCCAGAGATTTGGCAGCCATAGATGCATCACGCTCCGCCCGTACCTTAAAACACTACGCACCCGATCTTCTGGAGCCAGTTCTGAACAAGTTGGAGGAAGGTTCCGACGCGCAATATCGCTATCTCAAGGCTCTAATAGAACCGGACACACCACCTTCCGGTGCTCAGCAAACGACGAACACTGACTTACCAGCGGATTTCACTGAGAGATACGTCCAGCTCATGTGCAAGTACGATAAATCGCATGTCGCCGATTTCGTTGGTTTACTCAACTCGGGCGATCTGAGACTGGAACCTGTTCTTCCTGCATTGGAGAAGAGCGGTGTCATTGATGCGGCAGTAGTGCTTATGGCTCGCGATGGACTGGTTAGAGATGCCATGGACCGACTTGTCAAGCATCTCGGTACACTAGAAACGGCATTGACAGGATTGATTAGCGCAGCTTCAGAGACCCCTGATGCTTCCAATACTGAGGAAGCTGTGGATGACCTGCTAAGTGATATCCAGAAATATGTCAAAGTTGGCATATGGCTCTGTCAAGGACAGACACGCTCCATGAAGCGAGCTCCAGTCTCTCTTGTCGACCGACGCAAATCTGCCTATGGTGAGGTACGAGAGGAAGACCTTGCGCTAGATGAGATGCTCTGGCTTGACCTGGTCGATACAGTCGTTTCTTTGATCAAGAATGCGTCCGCGGCCGTGACCAAACTGGAGGCCACGCTATCCTCTACGCCTACATCTTCCACGCCGATCGATACAGGCAGGATAACGACTACTCTACGTTCGTCCGTCCAGCAGACCTTTTCTACTCTTCTGGCCTGCACCACCATCCCGCCGAAGAAGGCGGCCCAGCCTCAGCAGCAATCCACGACCTTCTCTCGGCCGCCCTTGACCACACGGCAATCGCAGCCGCAGACCAACCCCTCCTTCCTCCGCATCTTACGAACGTTCCTGACTCGTGCTGCCCACTCATCACCCTCTCTCTCCGACCTCCGTTCAGTTCTATCAGAGATCTTTGCAGCCTACACGTTCGAAGAAACGATTCTATCGCTTGCCAACCGCTTCCTCGACAAAGAAGGCTTCGTCCACGTCCAAGAAATCAGCGAACTAAGGCAGAGAGGATGGCGACCCAGAGGACAAGTGTGCGAAGGATGCAAGAAACGAGGCTGGGGACCTGGAACGGGAGCTGCTGTATGGGACAGCTGGGAGCGCAGGGAGAACGAGAAACACGAACGCAGACTGCAAGCTTCTGCAGACGAGACTGGCAAAGGCAAAGGGAAGAGCGCGCAGTCTGAACACGATGTCACGGGGGAGAATGGAGGAGTCGCTGCTCTGGTTGTATTTGCATGTCGACATCTATGGCATCGACCTTGTGTGGAAAAGGCGATGGCTCCCGAGACTACTGGGGACGGCGACGACGGTGGCAAAGCAGGCAGTAAAGACGATGTTGCTCACCAAGGGAGAGCGAAGGACGGGGTGAGATTGAGATGTCCTCTTTGTATATAGTCTTACCATTCTATGTGATGTTGATAGAATTATCTTGTAGGAAGGGTGGATTGATGGGGGCTAAGAATGAGGAGTGAGTCATGATGTATATTCATTGGAGCGTCCTTTTTTCCTTTTCCATAGCGAGCGTCATGTAACCATGTAACGGCTCGATGCAACGAGCTCAAGGATGTGTTGTTGCAATCAGTCAGTTCTCGTATGCATGTAGACTGAAAAGAGTAGAGAGCTTACAGGACGTGGATTATGATTGTCCCATTCCTCATTCCCCAATGTCAGAGATCGACCTTGTCTTATTCTAGTGCCTGGCGTATTCCCGCCATTCATCATTCATCATTCCTCGAGCGAATGACGTTGGGGTTTCTAGTCCGTTAGTTCGCATTAACGACGAGTAGGTATCCATCCTAGTAACTCGGAATTGTCGTCGCTGCGGGGCAAAATCCTCGGATTCCCCCAATCTTTTCCATCCCAATCTCCAATTATTCCCCATTCCCATCCCAATACAGACGAGTCACCCTACCACTTATCCGCGCTCTACTCGTGAAGCTAACCCGTAATCACCATCATCCATCAACTGCCCATCCACGGTCCGGCCATCGGACGTTCATCTGGCTTCCGCGAAAATGGTAAACCCAATGGCGGCAGACACTCCCATGCCGCCGCAGCGCTTCTATGGGTTTAGTCACGTCCAGGTACAAGTGTCGTGCCGAGCCTTCCGATGGGAACAGTCAGAAGGCTTAAACTGACCGTCGTTCTATCGCGATTTTCCGTTCTCTTTCATCTTTCTTTTCTTTCAACCTTCCCTTTGTCTCCTCCCCCATTGTCACAACCTCTCCCCAATCTCCCTACCCACGACTTCCTCTCGCCCAGAGAAAAAAAAGTCGAGGCTAGAAATCGGGAATACCAACCAACCAACCAACCAAAACCATGCCGCCCCCAAACATACTCACACGAACCTCCCGCTTCCTCGGCCTGCACTCCCTCAACGCCACAGGCCGCGATGCATACCTCGTGATAACGCTCCGGTCCCTGCGCATGTTCTCCGCAGGCATCCCATCTCTAATCCTCGCGCTCTTCTTCTCGTCCCTGCATTTCGAAGATGCGCGGATCGGACTGTTCATGACGCTAACCCTCCTCGGCGACGTTTTGCTCTCTCTGGTCCTCACCCTCATCGCAGACCGCGTCGGGCGGCGCAGGGTCCTTTTCCTGGGGTCCGCGATGATGGCGGTGTCTGGGACGGCGTTCGCTATGAGTGAGAATTTCTGGGTTTTGCTGGTCGCGGCGGTGTGTGGTGTTATTAGTGTGACGGGTGCGGACTGTGGGCCTTTCAGGGCGGTTGAGGAGAGTATTTTGAGTGGGTTGACGACGGAGGGGAAGGGGGGTGTGGGCGGGACGAGGAGTGATGTTCTGGCTTGGTATGTTACGGCTACGACGCTGGCTGGAAGCATTGGGACGGAGGTTGCGGGGAGAGTGGTGCAGTTTGTAGAGAAGAAGGCTGGTGGGAGTGGGAAGGAGGGGAGTAAAGAGGCAAATGAAAGGAGGGCTTTCCATGTGTTGTTCTGGGGGTATGCAATTTTCGGTGCTGTTGGATGTCTGCTATGTCTCGGGCTGAGCAGGAGATGCGAAGCATCTGGCGAGATCAGAGAAAGAGGCGGAAAAGGGTTGAGCGGGACAGGAACAGGAGAAGAAGAGGAAGTCCTCCTCCAAGCCGTCACCCCTTCCACCACCGACGGCTTCGAAGACGACACACCACCAACCCACCGTCAACCATCAGACATCCGCGTCACCAAATCACCCCCCACCAAAAAGAGCTACTTCTCCCAAATCTCCGCCCCAACCCGCAGCATCATGTACAAGCTCTGGATCCTCCTCGCCATCGACTCCCTCGCCGACGGCATGACCCCCTACTCCCTAATGAACTACTACGTCGACCAGAAATTCCACCTCTCCAAGTCAACCCTGGGCGACATAACCTCCGCCTCCCAATTCCTCTGCGCCGTATCCTCCATCTTCGCGGGCCCGCTCTCCAAGAAAATAGGCCTCATCAACACAATGGTCTTCACGCACCTCCCCTCCTCCATCGCCTCCGCTTTCATCCCCCTGCCCTCCTCCGTAGGCTGGACCGTCTCTCTACTGCTCTTCCGCGCCGCCCTCAACTCAATGGATCAGGCGCCCCGCACTGCTTTCATCGCTGCGGTCGTTAAGCCGGAGGAGCGGACTGGTGTCATGGGGATTACAAGTATGCTTCGTACGCTTGCTATGAGTGTTGGGCCGTCGATCACGGGGCTCCTGGCGGGGAATAATACTTTCTGGGCCGCGTTCGTGGCGACGGGGATCTGTAGGATTACGTACGATTTGGGGCTTTGGGTGTTGTTTGTTAATGTGAAGGTTGGCCGGGATCGCGAGGAGGATGAGGATGTGAGGAGAGGGGGGAGGGAGAGCATTGATGAGGAGGACGCGGCGTGGGGTGGGCTGCTGAGCGATACGGAGAGTGAGGGGAGTAGTGGGGGGAGTAGGAAGGGGAGTAAGGATGACGAGAGAGGAGTGACCGGGGGCAGATTTGGGAAGAATGATGTGGGTGTTTGAGGGCGGTTCAATTGAGGGCGGTTGAGGAGTACGAAGTTGTGGGTTTCCTTTGGGTTTTCACGAGGTTTTATGATGGGATGAATATGAGACGCACGCATTGGCATACACATATGCATATATACACATACCAAGAATGATTTTGATATATAGGAGTATTTTAAAAGGATGTCATATTTTATATTTTCAATAAGAGAAAAGACCTGGTTTTAAGTTTTTCTTTTTTCTTGATAAAGTAAGGAAGCACACATACGTCTAAAATTGCTTGTGCTCCCCGGCTCAGTCTCAACATTCTTGAGGTAGACAGGGCGGCGTCCCCAGGGTGGCATATTTAACCTACCAATTGCCTCAAAATGTCCTCACTCCTTTCTTTAGCTCTTGTTCAATCTTCAGGCTCTTTCACTTTAAGTCGCCGACTGTCGACACAGAGCTATGGTACGTGGCTGGACCATTGGAGGTAGAAAACAAATTCCAAGACTAATACTGAGTCAGGTTCGACTCGTGACAGACGACGACATTGGCATAAAAGTGCTCCGCGAAGCACAAGACAAAACCCAGGCCATCGAGTATGTCCGCACCACTTCAATTGACTACCATTGTATTGACTTGATCGAGCATAGTCGCAATCCACGGCATTGGAGCGCATCCAGATGACAGCTGGTGCAGAAACGTGGGCACTGCAGAGAACCCACAGTGGGTTAACTGGCTCCACCATAACGCTATGCTACCAGCCGTAGCACCTCACGCGCGCATCATGCGATATGGATACCAGTCGCAATGGTTCGGAGAAGGAGCAATGCGGCAGAATGCATCGACGGTGTCGCAGCGACTACGCAAGGCACTAAGAAGGAAGAGAGAGGTGCACGCTCTGAGTCTGGCTGGCTGCTTTATCATTTCTCATTCTCGCTATTAGGAGTGTCCGTCCCGCCCATTGATTTTCATAGCACACTGCTTTGGTGGCTTGGTTGTTCTGAAGGCAGGTAGGTCGATAGCGTGAGAGGTAATCCGGGACTGAGAGTACGTAGGCGCTCGTAGACGCCTATCAGGACGACGAATGGCGTAGTTCATTGGCTTCCACTGCCGGTTTGATATTTCTCGGAACGCCGTTCCGAGGGGCAGAAGGTATGAAGCTGATAGAAATGTTCGACGCGGCGCGGAGGGAATACGATGAAGATCAGGTGCAGTTAACAGCACTGCAAATACTCGAGCCAGGGAATGAATTCCTTCAAGAGGTAGTTGACCAATTTGGGAGAGTGCGTGGACGAATGGATAAAATGAAGGTCGCATGCTTCTACGAGCTCAAGTCTAGCAACGTGGGTCGGATTGTAGGAAAGAAAAATCGGACAGTAGGTCTACACCTCGGAAAGTAGCTTCGCACGATACCCCAGGTTAACTGTTAAAACAGAGTTTCGTGGTGAGCGAGAGCTCCGGCTGCCTTGACGTATCCAATGGGACGAAGAAATGCTCTCTCTCCCGCGACCACTTTAATATGAATAAATTTGGAAAACCTACGGAGGAGGATTTCGAGTTACTGAGCGAAAGTATCGGAGAAATGGTGAGAACAGCCAATGAAGCTGTGAAAGCTCATTGTGAGTCTTTGGTACATCGTATAGTGAACAACTACCTAACACACTTCAACTTAGATAAGGCACTCTATGGCAATCAAATTCCCGTGGAAGTGCTGAGGTCATTCCATGGTAATCAATCACCACAGGTACCGAAAAGCAGTGCAAAACCGACGAAGGGTCCAAAAACTAGTAAATCAAAGACTAGTAAACCGAAGCCCGGTAAACCTTGGTCGAATTTGGAAGATAAAACACTTTTGTGCATTGTCCGAACCGGAGAGTCCCCTAGATGGAAGGATGTGGCCGTAAATTTTCATAGGAGCGATTATGCATGCCAAAAGCGATATGAGAAAATAACGTGAAGTGTCAATGTATCGCATCAAAAAACATCATGCAAGGCGAACGATGCTGGGTTGTTGCATGTTCAGATATTAGATCCATGACGATCAGTGGACTTCTTCAATTACAAAGAATTATAATAAGATCAGCAAAAGTATCATTCTGTCATCCGTCAAAAACTTTTCAATTGCAACCCCTGAGTCCCTTGTCAAACTAAGTAAACATCCACATCCACATCCACATCTTTACCTATCCATCCCCCGCCATCGCCGCCCAAATCGGAGGCTGCGTAATCCTCGGCCACACATACCACCCATCATCCGGCACGACCGAGAGCACCGGTCTATTATCATTAATCTCCCTACAATCCCCCAAGTCCACACGCGTCCTACAGCAATGCCACGCCCACCACGCATGCCGCTCCCACAGCAATTCATGCGGCCTTGACCTAATAACCCTCACGTCCGTGCCGAGACTATCGCCGTCGTACTCCTCTCCCATGGCTGCTCTCTCCAGCTCCCTCTCAATCTCGAAGCGGGATTCGTTGGCGAAGTTTGCACAGTCGATCCAGTCGAACGGGTACGTGATGTGGATGAACAGGGACTTCAAACCAGCGGTTCGTAGCGGCTTCAGAGCCGTGCTGATGTAGCGGTACGCGCGGAGCGTCGAGTCTGGCTCCACGTCGCGAGAGTCGTCCTGGCATAAAGGACGGCTCATGTCGATGGTGAGGGAGAGGTTGGGGAGGTCGAGGACGTGTGCCATTAAAGAGATTGCATTGCCGAACTCTTGTCTTGGGAAGTGGTTGCCCTCGATGAGCAGCGGTTCGGCGTCGTCGAGGATCCAGTGGATGGAGCGTAGCTGTTTGAGGGCATGTTGGGGGAGTGCGAATAGGAAATGGAAGAGTGATACGGGTGGATCTTGGGAATGTATCGAGCGAGAATATGGCGAGCGATGTGATGGGCGGAGTGGGCGTAGGGCTTGACTGAATGTTAGAGGTGAGCTCCTTGGACCTGGTAATGCATCTCTTTGGCGGCCAGATACGAGGACGAAGTGGTTCTCACGATAGAAGATTCGACTAGCATCGTCGTATATCTTCTTGTTCAAGAGAAATATGGAATGCGGAAATTGCCAGCAATTGCCGTTGGTACATGTGGTAGAATAGCCAGCGTGAAGCTGGGAGCAGCAGCAAGCTTCCAGTGCATCGGTGCATGAGAGACAGCAAGCTACTTGGCCGTACAGTCCAGATCTTGGACACCATACAATATCGCAGGGAGCAACGAGCTCCGTGAACTCAAGAATGCGGAACTGCAATTCTTCAGGCAAATCGGTGAATCGAAATCGAGTCGGTCTTCCTGTCGCCTCGCGAGATGCTCGCTCTGCTATCTTGCGAAGATCTTCTGATGGGGTTTGTCCCAACCTGATTGCGCATTCTCGGAGTGGTTTCTCCTTGAAGGCGGGAGAGATTGGCTGCACCATGAACTCGGCAGTCGGGATATCTGCGCAGTCACAGATGACAGAAAGGCGTAATTGCGAAGGATTGCCATGCTCGGCGAGTTTACTTAAGGTGGTTTGAAGATCATCTAACAGGCGTATTGCTCGGCGAGAGCATTTCAATAGGGGATCGTCATATCCACGCTTGCAAGTAAAGTGACAGGCACAGTCTCGTTCGGGAAGATTGCAGATGTGGCCTGGCGTACATGAACATGAAGTGAGCGCTATTGTCAGAGATGTGATCATGGACAAACCATCCGTGCCTAGCTTTTGAAAACATGATAGACCACCACCAGGACCACTAGCGGTTAAGATGAATTTGTTTCTGGAGTAGAGCATTGATAAAGCTTCCCGACTGACGGAGTGGGATACCAGGAACAACGCGAAGGGAATGGGTGCATTTCTGTCGCATACACATTCATACCCATCGGGTCGGTCAACCAGCTCCTGTGAGTACTTCTTCATGTCATAATAGCACCAATCTTCCTCGTGGCTGGTAAAGTCGCGCCATAGGTGAAGGAGACTATCCCGGCCATGATGTTCGGAAGATATATTGTTACTTGAATTGAGCACTATGGGACAATCCCGGATCAAGCCTGTGTATTGAAGAATGCGGCTACGCACTGTAGCAGGAAAATCATAGAAACATAGTCTCTGAGTCCCTTCAGTCGGTAGCTTGGGACGAAGGATAGAGAAGTAATCCAGAAGGGAAGTTTGAACTGGCTTCATTGGTAGACAGGAAACCGGTTGGTGGATGGTGAGGAGGTGGAGGAAGAGAATGTTTGTGTTGCTGACTCTCGTGGCACAGCATGACAGGCGGCGGCGCAACGCCAGTCACAGGGGAGGAGGATGAAGGATCTGGCCCCATTCGCTTATCGCCTGTTCCATTCCCATTTCCATCTTTATTTCTAGTCACGTCGTGGTGTTTAGAACAGGAACTCTTCTCCTCCGTGATGATTGCCATTCTAGGACAAAGTATTGGAAAAGGTGGAATGTAATGGCGCGGATGTAGTAATTTATTTTATCTAATTTTCTCCGCGGAGAGTCGTTTAGCCGTACAGGCACTCTTGTTCTAGTACTACGATTGTTCGATTTTCATATTGACTTACATTGGCAGTGGATCGTATATACTCTGTACTTTCATTCTTTTCATCTTCTTCTCCATGTATTTGGGATTTTAGACAATGATCAGTAATCTCACAACCCCCCACAAAATAACAATGCTGATGTCATCTTTGCATGCCATCTTTCTTCATGCCGTCTTCGTATTCGTCGTTGATGACGATAAATGGCGATGATGCCGACCCGCGGCGCCCGCCGCAACGCTGCCGTTGCCGTGTGGCGGCGCGACGGGGTGTGCCGGCCGATATATGCAGTCAGCAACGCAAGGGTTCACAGCGACAGCGACAACTACAGCGACGGCAGAAGTGGAAGTGGTAGGGGAACTACAGTAGAAATGGGGTGACGGCCGCGGAGAAGTTGACTAAGAGGAGAAGGCATCATGTGCTTATTTATTTGTTCGAGGCTGGTTGTGTTGGAGGTGGTTTACAAATATCCATTTTCTTGGTTGGCTAAGAGTAAGTTTCTGGGGTATGATTGGCGTGTTTTGTACGGAACATGTGAAGGCTTGTTAATGGACGCCAAAATAGGTTGCTGTGCGGAGAGATTTGTATGTTGGTGGTTCGGCACGGCATTGTGAATTGGTAGACTTGCATTGGGAATTTGGAATTTCGAGAATGATGACGATGGTGGTGGAATTGTGTGATTGAGGTTGAGTTATGAGGGAAGCAATGGGGATATAAAGATGTGGATGTTAGCTAGCAATGAAAGAAAGCATCTGATTATCATTGATCATATCCAACATTTACATACCATCGACAGTTCAATCTTACAACTTCATTCAATCTCAACCATGACATTCCTCAACGCAATCACCAGATACCTCACCCTGTCACTCTCGACTGGAGAGAACATCTTCTACCGTGAAGCCGGCGACGTCAATGCCCCGACGGTCCTCCTCCTCCACGGCTTCCCCTCCTCCTCCAACCAATTCCGTTACTTGATCCCCATCCTCGCAACCAAATACCACGTCCTGGCCCCTGATCTCCCCAGCTACGGCTTCACCACCGTCACTGATTCCTACAACTACACCTTCGACAACCTCGCCACCACCATCTCCACCTGGCTCACCAACCTCCCCACCCCGCCCCAGAAATACAGCATCTACATCTTCGACTACGGCGCCCCGGTTGGCCTACGCCTCGCATTGGAACACCCGGAACGCATCTCATCCATCATAACGCAAAACGGCAACGCCTACGTCGAAGGCCTCGGCCCCTTCTGGGAATCCTTCAAGCCCTTCTGGGCGAACCGCACCACAGAGACCGAAGCCCCCATCCGCCCGAACGTCGAACTCCCCGTCACAAAGTTCCAGTACGAAGACGGCACCCCGGACCTCCAGCGCGTGGATCCCGCCTCCTACACCTTCGACCAGGCTCTCCTCGACCGCCCGGGCATCAAGGACATCCAGATCGATCTGTTCTACGACTACCAGAACAACCTCCCGCTGTACCCGAAGTTCCAGCAGTTCTTTAGGGAGAAGCAGGTCCCGCTGTTGGCGGTCTGGGGGAAGAACGATGTCATTTTTGTGCCCCCGGGTGCGGAGGCGTTCAAGAGGGACTTGCCGAACGCGGAGGTCGAGTTGTGGGATGCGGGGCATTTTGTGAGTGATACGTATGCGCCAGAGCTTGGGGAGCGTATTTTGAAGTTCTTCAAAGACCATAGTATCTGAAAGATAGGTAAAGGGGTGGGGGGGATGAAGGATCGATGCTGGAAAGAGACATTTCAGGCGGCGGAACAGGACGCTCGTGTTGAACAAATTTGATTGACTTGATTTGGGGAAATTGTTTTACCAGATTGCCAGATACTGTTTATCTGGATTGAGTTAGTTGAGCCTAATTATAAAGTTTTGTTGTTGTGATTGTTTCCTTAATGCTGAAGTCTGAAGTCCGCATGCTGGTGCAATGAGCCTATCCATGATATTCCGATTTCGCCGTGAAATAGATGTAGAATTTTGATTAAACATTCTGGTGTCATTCCCAAAATTGAGCTCGTGAAAAGCTGACAAAATTCCAACAAACAAACATCTTGAAACCTCAAGTAGTGGTAGTCACAAACAAACAGACAAACGCCCTCCCAACCCCCAAAATATATATCTGTACTAGCTCCTCTCAACACCGTCCACCCCATCACATCCCGCCGTATAATTCATCCCAGGCGGTGTCGGCTTTCCCTGCCCCCCAAACGCCGATTCTGCCGCTTGATGGCCCGTGCACTCTACTGACCTTTTTCGCATTTCCAAAAATTTCGAGCCAAGATTTCGCGGAGAGAGCTTTCGAACAAACCACACCTCAAGACCTCAGGACCTTTTTTTTGCGCCACGGCTCACAGCAGCAAAAAGTCACAGGTAGTCGCACCCAGAACATAGTTTGCGACTTAATTCGGCGACATCACCTCGTGAACGAAGGAAAGGAAGGGGTCCATTGAGACTGCTGTTGCAAGGCAGGCGGGCGGCGGAAACGACAACGAAAAGATGCCGAAGAAAGCGATTGACTCTCGGATCCCGGCGCTGATTCGCAATGGCGCGCAGGAGAAGAAGCGGAGTTTCTTCGTGGTCGTGGGCGATCGCCAGAAGGATGTCATCGTGAACTTGTACCACATCCTTTTGAACGTCGACATCAAGTTGAACAAGAACGTGCTATGGGCATACAAGAATAAGCTATTGGGATTCTCAAGGTAGGCCGCAATTGAACAACCACGCAGCGCGTATATTCTAACTAAGGGACACACAGTCATCGACAAAAGCGCGAGAGGAAGATCAAGAGCGAAATCAAGCGCGGGATCCGCGACGCCGACACCGAAGACCCGTTCGAGCTATTCGTTTCGTCGCAGAACATCCGCTATGTCTACTACAAGGAGACCGAGAAGATCCTGGGCAACACCTACGGCATGTGCATCCTGCAGGACTTCGAAGCAATCACACCCAACTTGCTTGCGCGGACGATCGAGACCGTGGAGGGAGGTGGAATCGTGCTTTTGCTGCTCAAGGGAATGAACAGCTTGAAGCAGCTGTACACATTGTCCATGGACATCCACTCGAGATATCGCACGGAGGCTCACAGCGATGTGGTCGCGCGGTTCAATGAGCGCTTCATCTTGTCGCTTGGAAAGTGCGAGTCGTGCTTGGTGGTCGACGATGAACTTAACGTGTTGCCCATCTCCGGCGGCAAGCATGTCAAACAGCTACCCCCACCGGACCCGGAATTGGAGGGCAAGACGCCCAAAGCGAAAGAGTTGGAAGAGATCAAAGAGTCCCTTGCAGATTCCCCACCCGTTGGAGACCTCGTCAAGCTCGCGAAAACCGTCGACCAGGCTAAAGCGGTTCTCACCTTCGTTGACGCGATCGCGGAGAAGACGCTGCAGAGTACTGTCACATTGACCGCTGGACGTGGTCGAGGAAAGTCGGCCGCGCTCGGTGTCGCAGTCGCGGCAGCTATTGCCCACGGCTACAGCAACATCTTCATCACATCTCCAAGTCCCGAGAACTTGAAGACACTCTTCGAATTCGTTTTCAAGGGCTTTGATTCCCTAGGCTACATGGACCATCAGGACTACACTATCATGCAATCGACCAACCCCGACTTCAACAAGGCCATCGTCCGAGTCAACGTGCACAGACAACATCGCCAGACCATTCAATACATCCAACCGCAGGACGCTTACACCCTAGGACAGGCCGAGTTGGTCGTCATCGACGAGGCTGCAGCCATCCCACTACCTTTGGTCCGAAAGCTCATGGGACCCTACCTAGTCTTCATGGCATCGACAATCAACGGCTACGAAGGAACCGGCCGCTCGCTCTCCCTCAAACTCATCCAGCAGCTTCGCGAGCAATCGAGAGGCCGCGCAGCCAACGGCGCCAACCAGGTCGTCGACCGCACCACGGGCAAGGAATCCAAGGACGGAACCGAGACCTCCATGTCAGGCCGATCGCTCCGCGAGATCACACTGTCCGAGCCCATCCGATACGCGCCAGGGGACCAGGTCGAAAGATGGCTGAACGACGTCCTCTGCCTTGACGCCACTCTCCCACGGAACAAATTGGCTGCACAGGGTTGCCCACATCCTTCGGAATGCCAATTGCTCTTCGTCAACCGCGATACCCTCTTCTCCTTCAACCCCGCAGCTGAGAAGTTCCTGCAGAAGATGATGGCACTGTACGTCGCGAGTCACTACAAGAACTCCCCCAACGACCTCCAACTCATGTCCGATGCCCCCGCCCATCAACTCTTCGTCCTCGTCCCCCCGGTCACAGAGGACAACAAGCTCCCCGAGCCGCTCTGCGTCGTGCAAGTAGCGCTCGAAGGCCAAATCAGCAAAGAAAGCGTCCTGAGCGGCCTCAGTCGCGGACAGCGGGCTGGCGGCGACCTCATCCCCTGGCTCGTCTCGCAGCAATTCCAGGACGAGAACTTCGGCGGCCTCTCGGGCGCCCGCGTCGTCCGCATTGCTACGAACCCGGACTACATCAACATGGGCTACGGCGCCCGCGCACTGGAGCAACTCGTCGACTTCTACGACGGAAAGATCGCGAGTCTCTCCGAACACGAGCTCCACGACGTCCCCGGGATGAGGCGAGTGACAGAGGCCGAGCTGGAAAGCGCAACGCTGCTAAAAGACGACGTCAAAGTGCGAGAAGCAAAAGACATGCCCCCGCTCTTCGCGCGCCTCTCCGAACTCAAGGCCCCGCAGCTCGACTACATCGGCGTGTCCTACGGCCTCACGCAGCAACTCCACAAGTTCTGGAAGCGCGCGTGCTTCGTGCCCGTGTACCTCCGGCAGACGCCCAACGAGCTGACCGGCGAGCACACGTGCGTGATGCTGCGGTCCCTCGAGACGACGTCCTCCGACGGCAGCTGGGTCGCCGCCTTCGCGCGCGACTTCCAGCGCCGCTTCCTCTCCCTGCTGTCCTACCAGTTCTCCACGTTTCCGTCCATCACCGCGCTCTCGATCGACGAGTCCGCGACCTCGGGCTCCAAACTCGATTCTTCGTACTTCGCGCGGCCCCTCAAGAAGGCTGAACTCGACGAATTGTTCTCCCCCTTCGACCTCAAGCGCCTCGACTCCTACGCGAACAACATGCTCGACTACCACGTCATCCTCGACCTGCTCCCCCCGATCGCCCTGCTCTACTTCACCGGCCGCCTGAAGGGCCTCGTCAAGATGAGCGGCGTCCAGAACGCCCTCCTCCTGTCCATCGGCCTCCAGCGCAAGGAGTTCTCCGACGTCGAGAAGGAAATGGGCCTCAATTCCAGCCAGCTGCTCGCCATGTTCGTCAAGGTGATGCGCAAGATCTCGACGGCGTTCCGCGGCATCGTCGAGGGCGCCGTCGAGCAGTCCATGCCGCAGGTCATGGAAGTCGACGAGAATGGCGTTGATGGCGATGCTGATGGCGACGCTGAGGCGCGGAAGTTCCAGCCGCTGGAGCAGACGCTCGACGACGAGCTCCAGGAGGCTGGGGATGAGATCGATCGTCTTGAGAAAGAGCGTGCGAGGAGCTTGATCGATGCTCTGCCTCTTGAGAAGTAAGTTCCGACTCATCTTGAAATATCGTTGTCATCATGTCACTAACGCGAACGATAGGTACGAGATCGGCTCCGGTGCGACCGACTGGACGGATGCGGAACGCCAGATCCGCAGCGCGACCAAGGGCGGCGGCAAGAGCATGACCGTCAGTGTGAAGACCGGCAAGGACAAGAAGAGGAAGGCGGGCGAGGGACTCGAAGAAGCCCACAAGGAAGCCGACAAGTTCAAGGAGGGCGGCAAGAAGAAGAAGAGCAAGTTCGGCAAGGGGAAATAAATAAAAAGTTGGACAGTGACGTCTTAGCAATGTAGCATAAAGCAAAAAAGCGGCGTATAGGCGCGAGAGTTGGTGGGACATGGCATTCTGTATTTTGTTGTCTTATATCCAAGAAATATATGAGTTCTCCATTGAGATATGATCTTAGACTTCCAATTAGAAATAGCATTGCGTGATTTGACCATGCATCATCTTCACCACCACCATCAATTAAAGCTTGTTGGTGAAACGCTACCGTCAGAGTCACTATCGGGAATCACTAGCAATTTTGGCCTCTTAGCATCTTCTTCGGCGAGCTCAGCGCACACCGAGACAAATCTTTGCACAATATCCGGAGTAGGATTGACCTCGCTCGCGTATTTCTTCGTATATGCCCTGGCGTTCTCTTCATATGTTTTCCGATCCTTAACATATGTTTGCGCAATCTCTGGGACCAAGGGATCGTCTAAGCCCGGGTCATCCAGTACCGATATCATCGAAAGCAGCATCATGTCCAAGGTGATGACAGGAGTCCAACGCGTATCCAAGATATCGAGGCAGACCTCTCCTTTAGCATTAAAGTTGGGATGATATATCTTCGTCAGCATGCGGCATGAAAGTGGCTTGAACGGATGATCGTTTGGAGCGCGGAATACCAAATGGAAAACCCCACCTTCGTAGGGAGTGTTGACCGGGCCAGTAATGCTACCGATTATGTATCGAAGATTGCCATTCACCCAGTGAGCTTTGTACCAGCGGGAAGCTGCGGTCCCGTGTCGTCCTTCTGCAAACCATCGCATTTCGCCCCTGAGTCGTACTCTAGCACTCGCAGCCAGAGGAGTATTGGAGTCACACCACGAGGGTGAATGAATCGCCAATGCTTCGTCAAAAGCGCTGAAGCTCAGGTCTTTGAACTTTTCGACCAGCATCGATTCATCCAGACTTAGGTCGCTTGGTGCTCTCGTGTTGGGTCCTACGGCACTGAGTAGGTCCTTCATGATTCGACTATTCTGCGTGTCAGGCGAATCTTGAGATTTCGATTTCAAAGATAATCTTGGAAGTATTGAGGAGAACTTTGAGGTACCGCTTGTTTCGGAGACAAGTTCCTCTTCTTCAACTCGTTCTAGAGCGGTTGCATACGATTCCGTAGTACTTTTCGTTTCGGGCACAGACAAAACCTCCCGTCGACTTGGGGGCTGAGAATTGAAAGTAACACTCCCGCTGCTCAGATCCTGGAGCCTCGCGCTGGCGGTCTCTGAAATCATGTCTTCAGCGTCTATCCGTGACTCCTCAATGAGCTCCAGCGTTGCCGTGTCCGAAATGCTCTGTATCTCGTACTGGACGAGATATCTCTGTCGCTCTGAAACCCCCAGGTCCTTGGTGAGCGACTCGAGATCACCTATCAGATCATTCAGATGTCGAACGATCTCGTCGAGTTGTTTCTTGTCTGCGATTGCCCATTTGGCCACAGCCAACGAACCCTTCGCCTGTTGACTTTTCCTGAGCCGTCGCGTGACCGCAGTCAAAGACCACTTCGGAAACGTAGCTTGCACCGCTACGACGGCCTCCTGCCCCGCCAAATCGCCCTCATGTTTCTTAACAATCCTCACTCCCGACTCAAGCAGGATCTCAATACTCTGAAACGTGCGTCCGATATGGGACTTGAGCACCGGCTCATCCAGCCCTCGGTGGTACCCACCTGGCGAGCCAAACCCGCACGCTTCGCCCCACTTGGTGAATCGAAGTTGTTGATTACTGAATTTCGTCGTCAGTATCAGAAGATCCCGCTCGAAGTTCTTGGCCTGCTGGATCAGCTCGAAGCATTGGACACAGCTCATGAAAACGCCAGGAAGGCTGAGGATCGCCGTGCCCCCGGCTAGGACTTCCCCCATGACGAGAAGTTCGCCGCTTAGGTATATTCCAATGGTCGGGTTTTGAGGGACAATCACACAAAGTTCCCGCTTGGTAAGAGGTTGATTTTTTTTCGATGATTGAAAGTGCTTCGAAGGGAGGTGTTGAGTGCTGCGGGGCGGTGCAATTGTCTCTGTAACCGCTCGCTCATGTCGTCGCCTCAGCCTCAACCCCGCCCTGTACATACGGGTATGCACATAAGCGAAGGCTCAAACACTGCCCTTAACAACGACCGCTGTGGTGATAGCTCCAATCTACATGACGCTCCGGAAGAAATCTTCGCGAAATGTAGGATAGGGTATCAGCATGTAGCGACTCAATATCGACCGTGGAACCGCTGAACGCAGTCCGCGACGCACGCTCTCATGGTTCGACATGTCCCTCTCCGGTTCTAGAGAACATTTTTCTCTGCTTCTATGTGGTACTTACAGTACCTGTTAAATCTTGCTGGCGATGAAGAGCAATCCATTCAAGTTCGAACGCCTTGAATGGAGAAATGATGGAGAAATGACGAACACATAAAATCCGAGCAACAGACAAATATGCAAAATATAAACAACCCAAATAACGTACATGCAAGATTTCCGATTTCCGATTTCCGTGTATGAGAGAGTGTGACGAGAGAGTGTGAGGTGTCTGTCTCTGGCGAGATCTTCTAGTCTAGTTATATTGTTTACGCACTACCAGCGCACTTGCCTTTTACAATCGAACATAGAGCAGGAAGGATCAATGGAACGTGCCATGCAGGTGCTCAGAGACCAGCAGATTATTACCATCCCTTTCGGCTGGGATGAATCAAGTTGGAAAGGTCGGAAGTATGTGATGTGTCATGATTCTCATTATTCGATACAACAAAAGGCATGTTACGCTACGCCCTCTGCCATGTCCTACGTGTGTCCGGATCCTTCCGATGATGTATACTGTACAGTCTATGTCCTTTGCTTGCGTCGCGCAATTCCCGTCATTATTTCCCTTCCCCAACCGACCCTTAATCGTCCAAAACGTGTGTTTGAAGGAAAAAGCAGAATCAAAAACTCGGTCCCAGATGTTACTCGTACATGTGAAAAGTCGTTAGTGCGTCGCGTTGCTGTGCGATGTGCTCCGCTAATGTCGTCGAAGTCAATCCCAGTGGATTCAGACGTATATACTATGGTCTGTGTCGTCTTCGCCGCGGGACTGTCCAATTAAGCTGCTTGCTCCTTGCGGCGGCGCAAGCTTCCAAAGCGCTTCTTCAGAGCATGGCCGACACCTTTGCCGACGGAATTGCTCCTTCCCAGGTCGCCGTCACGATCGTAACCTGTGTGGATTGGTACAGTCGGAGCAAGATCAGCCGTGCCGACGCTCTGATTTCGGCGACGGGTCTGCATCTCGCTTCCGGTCTCGCCATAAATCTTCTTGTTCTTCATCGCATTGTCAATGGTGAAGTTTGGTTCGCCCTTGCCTTTCAGGTCCTCGGGGTGATAATCCTGTTTTTGTTAGCATGTTGTCAGCACGTTTGACGAAATTCACATACCATGCCGGGCCAGCGCTTGTATGCATTAACACCTGGCTCTCGGTGCAGATCAGTTCCCTCCTCATAGTGGAGGACTCGGCCCAACTTATCGGGAACGCCCGGCGGCATGTTGGCAGTGCCCTCCAAAGGCCGATGCTTGGTGAGCGCATCGACGATGTTCTCCCGCGGGGTGGCCCTCAAAGCCTCCTCGTTCGAAGACTGCACAGCGGCGACGGGACTGTGCTTCCAGTCCTTATTGCGGGCGAGATTGGCAGCATCGAACGGACCTTCATGATGGTAGCTGAAGGTCGAATCGTCGAGGCGGTCGATGGTGTCGGTGCCCTGGAAATTCTTCTTCCTGAGATGGTAAGCACGATGAGCCCTAGTGGTATCCTTGCGGATGGTGTCTAGGGGCCTGTGTGACATATCTCCCGGATAGCGTTCGCGGAGGGAGGTGCTGCGCCCAAGCCCGCCACCCTCTCTGAAGGGAACGTTGGTCGAGGAAGGCTGGCTGGAACGCCTTGGGCGCGACTCGTTCATGGACCCAAAAGCCAGTGCGCGATGGTCGGAGGTAAACTGGGAGGCGGAGTGGGATTGGGTATGACGATGGCCCGAGGGATGGGAGGAGCGGGGGGGTTGGGGGGAGTATGGAGGAGAAGGACCGTCATACCTCCTGCTTTGGTGGTCGTTGAAGCCATTGCTGGGCTTGGACTGGTGGTGGTGATGGCGGTGGGAGGGCGAAGATGCAGTGGAGCGGCGGAAAGGGTTGGTTTCGACGGTGCTTCCGGTGTGGTGCTCGCGGATGGATGCGGAGGGAGTCTTGTCCTGCAGGCCAGCGGAGTGCGGAGGAGTGGGTAATTGAGTCTGGCGCTGGTGGGGCGCAGGAGCAAAAGTCGATCTGAAGTGCGAGTTGAGGCCAGTCTCGTCGCTTGGGTCCGGTTCGATCAGAGGATCGATGAGTTCGTGTTGCGCCTGGGAAGAAGGAAGAGGTATATGGGTCAGCGGGTGTGGAAGGTTTTGGGGTTACGCAAGGGAGGAGGCAGCGCGGGATGACCCACCTGGACGGCGCCTTTGCTGGTGGACATTGTGGTAGAGTTGGAATTTGCTGAAGACGGTGGAGTTGAGGTTGTGGAGGGAAGAAGAAGTGTGAGGCTCTTTGTCAAGGTAGATGGATGAGTATGGTATCGGAGCAGGAAAGAGAAGAAGTAGAGGAAGAAGGAAGAGAGGATGCGAGCGGGTAGTAGTAGTAATAGCAGTGGTAGAGGTGGTGGTGGGAGAGTTGGCTGGCTATATTAGGAAGTGCGTGAGCTTGGCAGGGACGCGTATGTTAAGTGACTGTACACAGTATGAACGGCATATGTCATAGGGTACGTATGGGTTGTTAGGTATCTAGTAGGTTCCCACTCATCCAATAAGTCCCTACTGACGTCTGATAGCATTCTGTCTTTTCCTCCCTAATACCTGGTTTCTCTTCAATATTTCCTCTCCACAAACGGCGTCACTGGCGTCGTCTGTCATCTGTTCTCCTCTCTTCCCGCCTTGCAGCCCGAAAACCGAAGAAGCAGTGAATGAACCAATGACGGTTGTTACGTCACTGGCGGGATGCAGGAGCTTGGACCGAATACGGATGACCCGCTATGGATCTAGCCTAATCCGGGTTAGTCATTCTAAGCTGCGTCACCGGGGGTTGGACCCTTCAACCTTCAACCGTCCCATGAATTTATTATTTTCATCAATTCCATCCAATTTCATCCACTGGGAGACACCCTGGAGGTTATACGGAGTACAAGCTATACAAAGCTGTACGAGCAGTGCCAGGTTACTTTACGATAATTCTACCAGACCAATCTATCAATTAACATTAATGATTCGACCCGGTTGTGACTCTGCTCTTATCAATTGTTCTGGCCATGAATCCATTGCACTCACCTGACCCTTAGTTTCTATTCTATAGTACCAGACCAGCTTACCCAACGACCTCTAATCAACACGATGCATGCTCTCCAACAATAACAATAATAGTAACAACACCACCAATCATGACTTCATTAGTCCAATACTCCGATTCCGACTCGGACGATGCTGACCTTCCCACCCATACCGATACGAAGACGAGCAAGACCCTGAAGCGCAAACATACCTCCACCTCTGTAACCTCACCTTCCGACCTGCCTCCGCTTCCGGCTGCATTTCACGACTTGTACTCCGCCAACGCGCGCATCAGTACAAACGACGATCCTGCTCTCCATGGCGGCCGCAAGCGTGCCATTCCTCATATTGAGGGTAATTGGCCTACTCATCTCTACCTAGAGTGTACGTACTCTACAACCTACCCATTCCCTTCACGCGACCGGCCAACTATCACTCCATTCACCAAAACCTACACCAACATGCCTGATCCCCCTGACGCGACCAAGGGGTACCTTCACAATCAGAATCCGACCACCTCCTAACCCTCATCGAAACCGTCCGAACGACCATCACACGCGCAAACGACGCCCGACCAAAACCCCTCCCAATCCCCACCATCACGCCCTCCCTGCGCTCGCAACTCGGCGCCCCATTACCTCTCCACATCTCCCTCTCCCGCACCCTACAGCTCAAAACCGACGCCCGCGAATCCTTCCTCGAAACCCTCACCTCGCGGCTGCGCAAGGCCTCCGTGAAGCCCTTCGAAGTCGAATTCACCTCCCTGAAATGGGTCCCCAACTTCCAGCGCAACCGCTGGTTCCTCGTGCTCGGGACCGCAAGGCCCCCCAACGACGAACTCAACCGCCTCCTCGCCGCCTGCAACGCCGCCGCGCAGCAGGAGGGCCACCAGGGTCTCTACACGTCCAGCGGCGGGAAGGGTGAGGGTCCAATGCAGGAGGACGATACCACTCCCCCCGCGAAGCGCATCAAGTCAAATAGACAACCCCCCAGCGACCCCGACGACCGCACGCAAAATTTCCACATCAGCATCGCGTGGAACCTCGCTGAGCCCGACGCACTGTGGCGCGACCTCGTGGGCGGCATCGACGTGCGTGCGACACTCGGCTCGCGCCCCGCCGCCGCCGCGCCGTTCGACGCCGTGAAGGCGCGGGTCGGGAACGCGGTGCACAGTCTGCCGCTGGGGGGTGCTGCAACGTCATCTCTGGCGAGGAGGACGGGCGGCGGCGGCGGCGGTGGGGGAGGGCTCTTGGGTTTGGGGTGAGATCATTAGCTATCCGTACGTACATAGTTACAAGGTAGCTACGAGTAGTTGTTGAATAGTATGACGATGACGAGCGGACGGCACGGGGATGATGCGTGCAGTGGGTTGCCTCGCGCTCGATGGGCGGGCCTGGGCTGCTGGGCTCGGCTCGCTGGGATGTCACTTAGCCTGCGAGGAGGTTGAAACAGAGTTGGCAGCGAACGAGCCCACACATAGCGTAGGGCTGGCTGTACCTTACCACACGTACGTCAGAGATCGACCACCATCCATCTTATCAACCACAACATCCCAATATCAGAAACCAACCCCGAACCAACTAAACCCACTCCAAATAGGGCGGAAAACAATGATAAAATAAAATAAAAGTCGAAAATGAACACACCCATTTGCAAGATAGAAACCCATCACAACTCCATCCCCTGCTCCCTCCGTGCTGCTGTGCTTGAGTAGAACGTAGATTCATCCACAAACCCTCCCTCGCCCTGTGAGATAGTTATAGGTAATTTATATGTATAATTGTACGTCATCCACGACGGCTCGCGTCCCCAGTACTCCCATGTCGTTCGAGCTCACACTCTGATCAAAGAAGCCATGACTCCAACGTCGCGTTACCCTCAGCAGAGCATCGCATCGACTCCCCCCTCCAACCCCCCAAAGACCTACCAAGCGCGACGAGACAAGGGACGCCCCTACCATGCCGATCAAATTCGACCTTTGCATGGGGAGAAACCCCTCGAGAAACCCCACGCCCACCTCCTCGCAAAAGATAGGTACGTACACAAAGAGAGCAGTCTCAATGCACCTAACTTCTCCTCTCCTCTCCTCTCCTCCTAAAAACCCAACCCATCTCGGCGGGTGGGTGGGAAACCAGACGAGACGGGGGAAACCTACAAGACAAGACAAGACAAGACACAGGCGTCCCCCCTTATCCCACACCACGCCCCTCTCCGTCGAACAACGGCCGACCTCAGACAAAGTCAGTGTCCGCGGTGCTCAGCTGGCTAGCTAGTCGGCGGGTCCTTTCAAGCATACGAACAATCCCCTTTTGGCTCGCGTGGCGCTTTGGACTAGGGGCGTGTTTTACCTGTGATATCCTCGCCTCGGCGTTGTGACGGCGAGCAGCGCTACGTCGGGTACCCCTTTGTTCTCGGGTTCCTGGTGGTTGCGCATCGTGTGGGTGGTTGAGTGCGGGGCGACGGAGGGGTCTAGAGCCGCCCCCCTCGCGCGAATGGGGAGGTTGAGGTTTGTTTTGTTTTGTTTTTGTTTTGCCCCGAGGGGAAAGGGGGGGAAAAGGGAGGTCGGCTGGGTGTGTGTGTGTGTGTGCTTGTTCGATAGCGAGTGGCGTGAGGGAAGAGACAAAGGATGGGGTAGTGAGATGTGATGCTAGCAGGGAAGTCCTTGTGCGAAAGATGTATCTTTGTTCGTGGATTGGGACGACGTGATGGGAGTTGATGCAGCTGCTATGTTTGGATTTAGGATCGAGATGGCTATAAGGGGGGATCAAGGTTGTCGTACGTTCCTGTCCGATTGATTCGTTAATTAACTGTTTGGCGTAGCATGCCAGAGCAATTTACTCAAGAAGGATGGGATATCTTTACCTGAGTCGATCAGGGGTAGATGGAAGATGGTGACTGCTCGTTCGGTGGCTCAGTGTGATGCGAATTGGCTGGGCGACAATGATCTTGCTTTAACGGCTGGCTGTTCCGTCTCGTTAATGCTTTGTTGTGTATCAGTCACGAGACTCAACGGGATGATGAGATCGGAACAGACATCCTGTAGCCCAAGCCTAAACCGAGCGACCCTAGAAACATCGAATATATGAAGGTCGATCAATTCAGCGGCCGGTTTCAGTGGACGGCGCGAGCCACACAAGCTAGATTTGGCAAAGGCTCGGAGCTACACAGCATGAATGGGAGCTGCTGCCCTGTGGCAGACGCTTGCAATTCGAGGTCTGCAGTGGCTGGGTCATGCCTTGACGAGGCGTAACAGGCAGCCTAGTCTGTTCAGAAATGTGTGTTGTTGATGGTACGATAGTGCCGCAAGCACAAGGCTCATTCTACCACAAGAAGCCCTACCTCAACTGGTATGATAAGAATTGTTTGGAGTCCTATGTATTTATAGACGCATAGGGTCGTGTTCTGAGCTAGCCGCATCCTCCACTCCACAGTACTCTGTCTGTAGGGAAGCGATACGGTGAGGGAAGCGAGAGGCAACGCAGGTGCATGAGCAGGACGCCAACCACAAGATTTCGTCCCCCCCGTGCGCAAGATGGCTTTCTTATCACACAGAGGGATTTCAAGATAGCAAGCATGAATAAAGAATCAGCCTCATGTATGAATGCCGCCTTCTGAGCTACGGTAGATCGTGATACACAGGACTCATTGTCGAATGGACCTTCGAGCATCCCCTCTATCTCGTGACTAGAGAGAAATCAAGTGTGAAACCAAGACATCGGTTACTATTCGAAATCGGGTCTGGAGGATCAGAGCTGAACTCAACGAAGATAAAGCAGAAGCAAATGGCCGATCACTAAGGGCACTGTTCAGTTGGATCAGCCATCTTGTAATTAGACGCGTATACTTACCTTAAACATCGGTCCGTCACCAATCACTCTGGAAATCTAGCAGGATAGGGTTTGGATATCGCTATTCTAAAACGCCTGAAATGACCGATTCCATATGTCTCTGAAGCATATACGCAATCTCAGCGTCCCCAACCGTAAGGGTTACCAACGCAACAAACACGATAGATGACACAAACACAACCCCGATGATGAGGGGGGAGGGGAGTGCCTAAGTATCATCTTACGGGGCCTGCGGGCTCTTATCGACCCGGTTCGAGCGCAAAAGGGATAAGGCCAAGGACATTATGGCGTAGCAGGATAGATGAGGCTATTCGGGGTTCGTGTGTATGAGGAAAGGCACGAGGCAGGGCATAGATCGAACGATCAGGGCTGCCGAGAGGGGTCGAGAACATCATCAATCTACCTCCGGAGGCCTATAGACAGAGAAACATACCTACTTATCCTACCTATCCACCGATTCCGGGTCGTGCCTGTGATGCTCCCTAGTACAGAGGCGTCCAGACGCGACAACATCCAAACTTGCGTACGGTCAAATTGCAATTCTCTACTATGATGCCCATGCTTTGAGAGCCACCTGAGCCAGAGATTAGTCTTTATTGTACCCAGCTCAAGTGTGTTATGAGTGCTGGGGAAGTGATCTAATCCTCTGTCTACCTCATCCGCGGGAGTGCCACAACCCTCCCGAGCCCTACGAGTACTTGCGAAATCATTGGTACAGTGCAGCCTTGTGACGTATTATAGTCCTGAGGCAGATCTTATCAGCTCGATGCAACCGTGGCTCCAGCCAGTGTTCATGGGCTCTTGACTGCAGCTGTCTGATACATGAATACACCTGTAGCTGGCCTTGTCATGCACTGTATTTCAAAACCTACCACCTCGCTCTAGATGCGGTGAATGGTTGCTTCCATGTGTATTTTCCAGCGTTTTCTAGAAGTTAGTACTGTTTGCTCAAACTTGCTTGTGCCGTTGATCTCTGTCACAACCCAACCGCAGATGAAGCGCTGAGATGATCAGCGCCCGGCGGATTTGACAGCTGGCGGATCGGCTGCGCGAATCATTGTAAGTCCCCACCGAAATCATGGCTTTTATTTTCAATCTTGCATACTAGGGAACTGTTAATGGTCTACGATTTCTAGATATGCGGCACCAATAGAGATGATTAGGAGAATGAAGGAGCTTTGAAAACGAGCAGTGATGTGATATCATGGCCAAGACTTGATCGTGCAGTACTCCGCGTAACGCGTTAGTTCGTCGTGGCAGCCTGGAACGGACACATCTTGTACCTGGTCCCGTGTAACATCTAGCCTTATATAACGGGCGGAGTGTCATAGATACTGTAACCGGGCAGTTCTTTGCTTGTAAATTCGTTGTATACCATATCTAGAAGAGTGCATGTTGAGGATAAGAGTGGGAAGATTGTGGGCTGGGTCAGAGCACTGTCAGATGGGTCAACTAGACCTGAGCGTTGAGCTGTCGTTTCTTCGTCTCCAAGAGGATCCTGCGATACTAGGATATTAAATGTGCTTGTTGAGACAGAACAGGAAGAATTCGAGGGGGCGGGGAGTTTTAAAGTCAATCAGGCACGGAGCTTTATTTTTGGAAGAAATGGGAGTGTGTGTTGGTGAACGTTGGCTGAAGTCTAAGTAACGCTATAAGTCGGCATGAAACCATCATACCCTGTTGCGCAGCGACGGGCTTCATGGTAGGGACCTCACGTAAACGATGTGCAATCCAGCAAAGAGATCTAATTCGCAATTTTGGCTCCCTTCCGCTCTAATCTTTCTGTCTAGGCCACTCCCATCGCGGGTGCGGATAAAGGGTATCTTCCAAAAGCCTCATCATATTCCCAAACTCCATAAGATCCTTGATACCCATGACTTCCCTTCGAAAATCCCTTATATGAAAACATAATAGCTTGTTCCAACAAACATCCCTTTCTCTATCCCGAACTGCTTTTGACGTTGTCGTTTCCGAACTTGGTTTTAATCTAACATGTCTTGTCAGCGAACACCTGATATCAAATTCCCCATAAGTGGCCTTCATACTTCACCAGCGACTCAAGTAGACTAGTACTTGTACACATCGTGTGGCCATGTATTTATGGCGTCGTTGACCTTCATCAGAGAATAGTACAGATTCCTTTCTCGCACCACGAGGACGTGGCCGACTGAATACTCTTTCTCTCGGAACTGTTCCGCGGTTTGAAGATGGATCGTGACGTGGAGCCGCTTTTCCGTGTCACTCACGTGGGGGAGGTCATGGATGAGGACCTTTTTGTAGCCCTGGAAGTGTCCTTGTCGGCCGAGATACCGGAAAAGATCCATGATATATGGGGATTTCTCGCACTCTTCAAACTCAGAGTTCAAGACGAATCTGGGGGATTGTGGATGGGAATTCATGGTTATGAATTGTCCTGGGTTGAGGAGTTGTGTTTTGGGAGTTGTGTTTTGGGAGTTGGTATTCTAGGTGGAAAGGTTGTGTTTATATAAGTAGAATAACAAGGCCCGCGCAGTGCGGCAATAGGCACCACATTATCAGTGAATGATGGGACACAAGGTGATTAAGCTGGGTTTGCAGTGAAAGGTGCCAGAGTCCTTTGATCATTCACTATGTACAACAAATCTAGCCCACCGAAAGTTATTTTTAGCGGTAACAATACAGTTTGCTTCGCCTAAAGTTCCATTTGCACGAAACTGTACTATACTTGGAGACGACTGACTACGTAATAATCATAGTGAATGTCCTGAACGAAAGCCTCCGCAAGACGTTCCTCCGTCTTTGGGCGTTGATCAGGATCTGCTATTAGCATCCTTCGAACGTATCTCCCAAGCATCACAATATCCCTTTTAGCCTCAGCCCTTCCCTCTAAAGGGTTGTATAGAGATGAAAGTTCTTTCTGCTTCTCAAGCCTTACAGAACCGTACATCCCGTTAGATACCTACCTATACCTGAAAACCTACCCATCGTGTACGTACCGTACGTCATCCACGACGCCAGCACTCAGACGCCCGCACTCACACAGTACCTACTTCCCTTCCACATACGCACTCCAATTCCAATCGCCTTCGACACCTCATAGACACTCCCGTCTAACCCCCTCCCCCTTCACAAAAGACAATTACACCTTCGAAAGCTAGAAAACCTAGCACCTAGGTCACTTACATCACACGTACATGTACATGTAGGGTTTACCTACCCTACCGTACAGACACAATAGACAGATAGTAGATACTAGAAGCCAAACACATCCACGACCCAACCCATCATCCCTCCGTCCTCCCCTTCCCTGCTTCCCACATCCCCCTTCCCTGACGTCTACACCACACGCGCCTCCTCCCCTCCCCTCCCTCCGTCTATATCTCCATATACGCCTACGATCCCACAATCCCACACCATTGAGTCCTTCAATACATGCATGAGTGATGGCGGTAGGCTCGCCTACGTCACAATAAATCACCTACGTGCGAAAAGCCAACCCGCATATCTACACTCTCGCTAAACACTCCACTAGGCTTTAGGCACGGGGAACGATGTACTTGATTGTACATGCCTGGGGTGAGGTCGGGAGCGAGCGCGACGGCCAGGCGTTGATCGTCGAAGACGTGTTTGAGGATTAGTGTTCGAAGGGGGTGGTGGTGAGGGGGATATGAGAGCTGTTGGGGGCGTGGTTCAAAGGCGTGGTGGGTATGGAGGCCGTGGTAATGCGGTGGGGAGGGAGGAAGGGGGGAATGGGGATGGCTACGGGTGGTGGTGGGCTTGGTCTGCTTTTCTTGGTTTGAGCGGAGGATCTAGCTCAAGTTGCTTGCTGACATGTACTGTTAGATGTGGCATGGAATAGCTCGGCCGCGTTGACCGTTTTTCTATCCAGTACATTTGGCATGCTGGAAAAACAGGGGACGAAGGTACGTTAGGATGGCTGGGTTTGAGTACTGAGTGGCGGTTTGAGATCTACGCGCCCTGGATGTATTCGAATGAATGTCAGGTTTCAAGGGAGCAAAGATATGTTACGGTATAGGGGGACTAATGAGGGTGGGGGAGGGTACGGGTAAAGATGTGATGGTATCACTGTCATCGTACTTCTCACTGACTGACAAAGGCAGCGCCGAAGATGGAATTCTGAGTCGCTCTGCACCCCTAAATCATTAAAGAACAGAAGAGAGGATGTAATTAGTCACTGAGAGGAGAACAATGCCAGTGACACAGCAAAAGACATTGTTTGCCATTCGAAAGATAAAGATGCTAACTTGGACTACTAAGAATAGATACCAATCGAAATTTAACAAGACGAACCGTCACTCTAATAACTTAACAGATAGAAATAACTTCAGGAATTTTGCTCTATTTCTGCGACTGCTGAATAGTGCACAGTGTTGCTCTACAAAGGATTGCGTTAACTGTCGATTTGCTTTAAGGAGATTGACATTAAGCATAAGATAGGTCCACACGGGTTAAACTACATTTGATTTGATGATGTTTCCTAATCGTTTAGGTCCTCGTCGAGTATAGAACTAGATAAAGTATGCCGATACGAAGAACTAGACTGTACTGACTCTAGTGGGATCTTCTTAGTCTACGCAGCCAAGGGAGATAATCAGATTAGGAGTTAACCTCTATAGGCCTACCAACATCCGAGACTACGCCCGCAGATTACTTAATACATAATCGTCCAGGCGCAGATCCTGAACGAAAGCTTCCGTAAGAAGTTCTTCCGCTGACGGACGTTGATCAGGATCAACCACTAGCATCCTCCGAAGGTACCTCCCAAGCATGACTATATACCTTGCAACCTCAGGCCTCCCTTCCAGAGGTTTGTATAGAGCTGCAGCTTCCTTCTGTTGCTTAAGCCTCTCGCTATATATCTTTTCAACTCTTTCACTAAGCTCGCCATCCTCAGCATCCATTTTCATATCACATTCTGTCATTTTCCACCAGAAATCACGATTCTTATCAGGATGGTAAACTCTAAGGCGCAAGGTTTTCTCCAAGATATGCTGTTGAACGTTAAAGTCTACATTGTTAGTCGGAAGTCAACAAAGAATGCAAGAAATTACTTACCGTAAGGAGGTGGAACATCCTTCCAGAGTTCGTTCTTTGTGCCTTCTATCATAGCACTCAAGAGCCAATCAGCGGAGGACTCGCCAATCACTTTGTGGATCTGGGGTATTAAAGTGCGAGTATCGTAGGTTACGTCGAACAGATCACTTCGTGTGGCAGCCCAATAAGTCTTAGACACGTTAGAAATTACTCTGGGAGATTGGTAGGGCTCAAAAGGTATTTGCTTACAACACAGGCAAGCTGCCATATATCCATCGCTTTAGATACGGGCCTTTCAATGATCATCTCGGGAGGGCGCATGGAACGGTTGGTGGCAACATGGGTCGGAAGCTCGTCGGCAAAGAACGCTAGATGGTACATATTGTCAGGTAAAATGCTTTATTTGAAGGTGTCAGCGGGACTTACACATGGAGAAGTCTACGACCTTGACGGTCATTTCGAACGTCATGTTTTTCTTCTTGTCGTGATCAGTGGAGATTCTAGGCTTTCCAACCACGTGCTTTGGCATGTGCTCGCCTATAGGTTCACCATCTTTCCGAGTGACCTGCGAAATACATGGCTCATCGTAGTAACAGTAGTCGGGTAAGAGAAACATAATGTTTGAGTTGTGTAATTCTAGGGAAATGTTAGCCTTCGTGAACATTGTGATCATCACACTATACTAACCGCCGTGGAGTATGTTACACTTATGCATAAAGTCAACCGCAAGAAGGAGCTGCCGGCTAAAGAGGCGACACTCAGAGCCATCTAGGCGACCTGGCAAGCCCCGATCTTTAGCGTCGACATATTGATACAATGTTTGTCCCGCTGCTTCAGTGACGATACATAAATGGCGTCCGTTTACGCCGTCATGGTAGAAATGGTCAAGAAGCTTGATAATATGTTTGCGTCCTGGGTGTTCGAGATCGCTATCGCGAAGGTGTTGCAAGATTCGAAGTTCCTTATCGTTTTCTGATGCCTTCGATTCTATGACCTTAATAGCCACGAACTTGTCGTCACTGCCAAATTTAGTACTTTGAACTGCCAAGAGCAACTTGAAATCATTTGATTTGCTGCAAGCTGGCATTAAAACTTACTGGAGATCTCGTGCTCCCCACACAGTAGATGAGCTTCCCCACCCAAGCTTTTGCTCTATCTTGTATCGCCCATCCTTGTAAATATCGCCAATGTAGACAGGATGGAATAGACCGGGACCATAGTGATGAAAGTACTCAGATTCTACATCAGCTGAGAAACAATGTCCTTCGGCCTCAGGATCTTCTTCGTAGTCGACTGTGTTATCGAAGTTGGAGGTCTCGCTACCCTCTTGAAAAACCATGCTCTCAAAGCTTGAGGCCTCGCTTACCCCTTGAGAATCCATGCTGATTGTAAGTGCCAATGACGAGACCCTGTATTGTAATATCAAATTTGGAAGAGAGTGACCAACTATCGAGAATTCTGGCATTTTTCCTGATTCTATACGACTTATATGTACGTCAAGCGGCTCTACCAATACCCTAGATTCAGGTAAGGACGCCAACGCCCTCCCCAAAGATACTGATCACAACTAGAGCGTCCCGCGTCCCTGAAAGGCATCTGCAGACTGGCGGCGCTGTGGCAGTCATTCAGAGTGCCTTTGGACAAAGACAACCCCCTCTCCATGGCGCTTTCTATCGACCTCGAAGCAACTTTAGATCGTGAATCGCTTTGATCAATAAAGTTAGTTTGATTGCATCTCCTAGACGGTCTTGGCACTCGGCTGAATCTTCCTAGAACAATATTGACGCGCTATCCCAGCTCCATGTAATCGGCGAGAGTGATGCGTATATACGCCTCTGTAATATGGAGCATCATAGGCACGACCCGCAATTGGGGGATAGCTAGGATAGATGAATATTCGCATCTGCCCCCCTCTCTCACTCACTTACTCACTTACTCACTCAGGTACTCTCAGCTGCCCTGATCTATCTATCTATCTATGCTCTGCTTCGTGCCTTTCCTTTTACACGTGATTCTACACCCCTACACCTTTCAATTCATTTCGCACTATCGATGTAAGTTTATGTCTTTGGTGATGTTCGGCAAGCCTCTGGACGCCATCTTTGCGAATGCAAGAAGGTGTAAAGAACAAAGCAAAAACCCCAAGAACCACGTTCGATGAGGTGGGCCCGAGAGCAGCGCTAATTTGACAATAGGAATAGTCATGTAATACCTTCCAAGAGCGCGTCTTCCTAAGTTCCTCTTCGTATTGTCAAACTAGCGCTACTCTCGGGCCCAATTCATCAAGCAACATCATTGAAGAATCAAGGTGGATACTGTGGTGTAGCAGGATAGATAGGCACTTGAGGATATTCGGGGGCCAATCTACGGCCATTTGAGATGCAATTCATTACGAGATGGTTCGGAGGTACCCGGCCAAGATACATCATTGGGCCAAGGAACGGCGGGCTATTTGGAAGTGGGGGTGGGGTTGGGCCGAGGATCCGACCACCATACACGAATTCAGTGGCTGAAACCGTGCATATCTTCTGGATAACTCAACCTACTTCCATAAATTGGACATGCCTTTGGATAGAATCGCTGATTTCCGCTTGTTCTCGCCCAAGCGACAAAGAATCTCAAGCAAATGCTCTGATCTCAGAACTTGCACCAGGCCATATTGAACATGTCACAACTCTTAGGTGTTGTGACTTTCGTTTCGTGAATTATCCGTCCAAACGCAGTTTAGATCATCCCGATTACTGCTTTTTGGGAGCCGCTGTGCATCTTCGCATTTCGATGATAAGAATGTTGTGGACTTCAGGTATTCCATTTAATTAGAGATTCAATGCCTGTTCCGATTGTAAATGAAACACGCACAAGCTCTATTTGTTTTGTTATAAAGTGAGAGGCGTTTGGCACTAACGTACTAGACGGGCGAGCTGATCAGACGGGCGAGCTGATCACTCTGCCAAGACCACACCAACTTTTCAGTTACCACAGCAATTCATCACAGCATGCAACTACCACACGTGCAATTAAATCAAAAAGAATCTCAAATACAGCTTGCAATCCAGGCTATAAAACAAGATGCAACACTTTCTCAACGGCGTGCTGCAGCTATCTACAACGTCTCTCAAAGTAC